TCTACTTGTAATCGATCTAGGGGTTACGTTAGAAAAGCGAATTTATATGTATTTATAATCACGAAATCCACTATATTTTCTGGGCTTATTCCATACATATGCTCTATATATAATTTCTATATTATCTACATGTTCTCCATTTTGCATCAAAGTATTCGTTATGTAAGACACATGATTTTATGTATACTGGCAAAGAAGTAAGTAAACATGAATAATACGGCCTGCGTTACGTATTAAACAAATGGCAAAAGTTAACTAATGCTAAGACATATGTGATTATCCTTGACAATGCCTACGACTTAAAAGATTAAAATTTTAAAATGTTGTGTCATTTTCAAGCTTTTATAAGTGCGTCTTTTGCAATAAGAATGTTTCGAAAATTGTATTTTTAATTTTCACCTTTGCCTAGGAACAAAGACTGTAGATTAACTTTAACTGGCTAAGTGAGATTAGGTTTAAGATCAGTAATATAAGGTGCACTAAAGGTTACAAGCTAATTAGAATGTTTCATAATTGATACTTACATCGCACATTTGATTTCTATAGATTAGCGTTAACTGGCCCCATAAGGTCGAAAAGTTAACTTAAAGATCAGGCACATAAGGCTTACGAACTTATATCTTTGCTGTGCTAGGGAGTACTTAAGCTTTTTATCATAATTGATACTTATGTGATACTTGTTTCCTATGAATTAGCTTTAATTGGCTCCGTAAGGTCAAAAAAGTTAACTTAAACATCAGGCACACAAGTCTTACGAACTTACATCTGTGTCTACGTGATACTTGTACTTCCAATCGATTAGCTTTAACTGGCTCCTTAAGGTCGAAAATTTAACTTAAAGATCAGGTACATAAGGCCTACTAACTTATATCTTCGCTGTGTTGGGGAGTACTTAACCTTTTTATCATAACTGATACTTACGTCGCGCAATTGTTTTCTATAGATTAACTTTAATTGGCTACAAAGCCCACAATTTAAGATTAAGATTACGAATATAAGGTTTGCCGTGTAAGGGAAATTTCTCAATTTCACTTACATCTTCACCGCACTGGAGATTACTAACTATTTACAATGTTTCATTTTAAAAATTAGACACATAAGGCCTAGGATGTAAGAGAAATTTTTCAAGAAAATTTTCATTTACATCTTAAGCAGGGTTTTTACATTACTACCCTATTGATATCTATTATATATCAAGCACTTGGCTTGAGAGGATCTCTTTGTCGAACTATAAAAAGGAGTTTGGACTACATTTTAATTTTTTTTCTTTTCTTTTAATTTATTACAAAATTAGTCATGCCGTTAAAAATAATAGTCACGTTTTCATAAAAATAAAACGCTCAGGCAAATATTTAGGCTGACCCATGAAATTATAAATGGATGGATGATAGATGTAAAACAATAAAAACAAAAAATCAATTTAAAGTAAAACACAGGATAGAATTGCAGGCAGGAAGGAAAAAGCAACATGATGGCTGAACATAGAGGGGGAGCCGTTAAAGCGACTAGGCAACAAAGAGAACATTGCGACCAACTATGCGAATAAATGACTTGATAATGTTCCAAAAAAGTTTTTTTTTTTTAAACAATAGGACAAAACCGAATTTCAAGCGTCAGAGTGTCTACATATGCACAAATTAAAGATACGGTCTTCTACGCGCATAAATGCATGGTATGCTTGTTTGTATGCTTATACATACATATATATATATTTAGAAGAATATATATATATATGTACAAGAAAACGTAAATAGATAAGTGAGCGACGAATCGCGAATACCAACCAACATAAGTCGTTTAGTTGTCCGTCGAATTTTGCTTTCATAAAGAATATTAGAAGATATGTATCAATAATACTAGCAGTACCTACCTCAGTGGTGTAGCGACCATCAGTAGGACACTAAAATTGTATGAATTATTTTTTCATTTATTTATTAATATTTTAATTCGGCTTTTCATCTGGTGCATCAGGGACGTGTTGACTAACCGCGCAGAGGGGTACTTATATAAGAGGCGGTAAATATGTATGAAATACAATAAAATAACATACCTATGGCTTTTGTAAGAAAGCTTAAATAATAAAGGGCTATCTTGCATCTCAGTCGTTCCAAAGGCACTGAAGACCATTATCATCGATTTTCTATAGATCATTCTAAAAATTTTAATTACGATAATAAAGTTAGCATACCTTACGATGGCATATACTCATGCATAAACCGTCAGAGGCGGTGAAAATGCCAAAGCGCAGCATGAATATATTCGAGTTTATATGCACCTAGAGGTCAATGTATATAAATGTGCAAAAATTGTAAGTAAATAGGACGAAATATTTTATGTCGATAGACATTCAAACCAAAGTAAGCGAAAATTATTAGCAAAGCAATGGGATCACATATAGGCATATAGGCCAATACCTAAACATACATAAATTTGTAATTTTACATATTGCGAACATGCCTTAATTTGTGGCGATTTTTGGTAAAACTAAAAATTGATTATTCAAAATGTTGTTCATCACTGGTCGACACATTTGTTCCTCTTTAAGGCCAGATGCGAATTATGCCTTGAAGACGATTCAGCAAAAATCCAGCTGGACTTGGATACGACTTTTGCATATCATAGACATTCCAAAATTACTACAGCGTATCACATATATATTATATCTACCCATGCTACACTCAAAAATCTTGTCTTATATCGCGGTCCTAGCAAAAAAAAGAAATTTGAACAGTGGATTTTCACAAAGAGCTGTCTTTGTATCATTTTTTACAGGAGCTCGTAAGTGAATGTCTGCACAAAATCGTGAAATTTACTCGAGAATGAACAGTTCCGTAAACTATTGTATTGAAATGCAGTTCTACCTTGAATCCATTTTGGACGAATACACGGCTGAATGTTATATTCGCGGTCAGCCGCCGCCTGACAGTGGAGAAAAACAAATCACTGTCTATTTTATCTTAAGAAATTGAGCCTTGGGTTACTGGAATCTTCGGCATGACCGTTGTACATTTGAACAGGGAAGACTTTTATTAATTTTTATATGAAAATAACTCGGCAATATTTATCTCTTTGACCCTTCCACATGCGTTTGGCATTCAACTTGCACTTGTAAGTGTTCTACGAAGCATAAGTTCACCAAAAGTTAGATGCTGACGATATCCATCACCGACGACAAGAGATATACTCTGAGCTACTAATAGCAGTAGTAGTAGTAGTAGTAGTAGTAGTAGTAGTAGTTCGGATCCACTGTGATCGACGAGCATTTCTCTTGCAGAACTGAAAAGATATAATGCTTTTTCATAGCTGTTAAGTACCAGTGGGCTAATACAAAAGGAAGAATCGAGAGGCTGAAATAGGGTATGTGCACTTTTCGAATATTCGGCACTTCTCGTTCAACTTTGTTCCCAACACCTCGTCTTTATGGGCTGAAAAGTCCCTGTATGTGCAAATTGTTTCAATTCAATTCTTCCACTCTCTTCTTCTTCTTCTAGAAAACAGCAAATCAATGATTCACGATGGCAGATAGAAAAAATTTGTCTAATTTATTATAGCGGAAAACGGAAATAAAGTCCGATAAAATGAGAATGGTGGTGGATACACGGATCTATTAAGTTGATGCGGCGGTTGTATGCAGCACCCAGAAAAACTTGTAAGAGACCAAGCTTTTCTTATGCGATGCGTATTCAGCCTACAGGCAGCAATTTTTGCGATGTTTTGATTAATTTTGATCTAAATGAAAATGGTTCGGACACCATAATATTTCTAGTTCTTTTAAGCATAAACTATAGACTGTTAGATCTAAAAAGCGATTAGTAATTCATAAATCGTCATCGTAGCTAGCAACATTGCTTTCACCTTCTATATACTCTGCGCTCATGGAACATTGTAAACAATTACTCAAAACTTATATATAAATATAGATGTAAGGAAAGAATACGCAAACAAATAAACTACAGAGCGTTCGTATTTTGCGTAGATCTTGAAATAAATCCAAGCTGACACGAGCATACATGGTCGTGGTATTGTTTAGCTGAAAGTCGTGACTGTTTTCTCTGTCTTCTGTTGTCATTTTCATATCTCGCATCGGATTAACTTAACGACACCATTGCCCGTATACACGCCAACGAAGGTTTCTAATTCAACCTTTATACGATCATTTTAGTATTTTCTGAAAGGCGGCCACTTCCTCCTTGACTTCTTTTTATCTCGAACTTGAAAGCATGTACATGTACATAAACATACATATTCGTTTATGAACTTATATGTTTCCATTTGTTGGCATTTTTTATAGAAATAAAAAACGTTCACCTATTTTTCAAACACTTTAGACCGAAGCTTAAAGGAGTATTACACCGGAGAATATGGAGCAATAATAACGTTTGCATTGCCTGCTTTCGCTAACAGTTTTGTTTTTCTATTATCAGAAATAATATATTGTTACGAAAATGCCACGATTGATAACTTGACGGTTCATGAAAATTGGTCGATTCAACTTCTAAAGGGGAAAGGAAAACCAAGCACACATTCATAGCGCATTTGCGTCATGCAACTGGATTAAGAATGTCGTGAAGAATTTAGATAATAGTGACATGCTTTAAAAGGATATATAAGCTAAGCTTTTCGGAATTGTGATCTTCGGAGGGACAAGACCAACCAAGAGAATTGAAGCGTTGCACACGAAAGTTCTTGGATTTGTAAATAGATCTCCTGAGACTTGTAAATAAGACTTATATTATTTTAAAATCCACAATTCAGTTGTACGAACTTAATTTCAAAAGGAATTGAATACAATCCCCAAGATATGATTGAGAGGAGACGTAGCCTGCAGTCTAGTTTTCTTGCTTATTACAGATTAATTTTATTGGACGCTTGCCACGGCCCGAATCAAGGGAATATTGTTTTATTACTTAATTTTCTTTCATTCGATGTCATGGCAGAGATCAGACGTAAAAAGGAAAAACCATTATATTATCTATAAATTTTTTTCCATTTCCATAATTACATGTATAAATATATGTCATTTATTGATTAAATTATTGCTAATAAAAAAAAAAAAAAAAACATTGGCATCATCTTATTAAAATCGCAAAACAAAAAGTGTAACGTAAAACGAAACTAAGTAGTTGTTTGAAGAAAATGAAAGCCAGCGCTAACGATACATCATGACGTCTGGGCTCTGATACATGCACATGTACGCGTCACAAAATAAGCGTTTCGCATGTTCGGGTAACATTTTGTCGGTGGACGAGCTCTCATGTACAAAAAGCGCTCCGTCTTCGGACAACCATTGCGGCATATCCGGTACAGTTACCATTTCAGGTATATTATAACCATTCTGTTCACCTAAAATAACGAATAATACAGAATATATGAAAAAAAAAGTGATCATATAAATAGAAACAAAAAAAAAAAACAAAATGCTAAAACCATTTCTATCCGCCATTGAATCGAAGAAACACCAAGGAGCATCCGGTCCAGAGCCAGACTTTACAAATGTCACATAATGTGATGTTTCGATGCATACTACAGCAAAAAGTTCCATATAAAGACGAGGTATTGTCGTATTATCGGCCATAAGACGAAAATCTTGCGGGATTTCTAACGCCCGAGAAGTATGACTAGATCTGTATATATGTATATATGATAAAAGTAACGAAAAAGAAAAAATATGAAAACTAGTGAGAAATTTAGATTTATTAACCTTTTAACATGCGAATGAACAGTTTTAAGGCACAGAGAGCAAAACGCAGTAGATTCTAAGCCAGAACCTCTTTGTATTACGCCAAAACAGTCGCGGCACTCGTGCTCCGCCAATTTGCCACATACCGTACATTGTCGCGGAGCTGTAATTGCATCATAAACAATTTGACGTTTTTCAACACGCGCCCTCATGTTAAGCATATATTCAACGTAGAAGTCCACTTACAATTTGCAATAATGTCTGTAACATCTAACACTTGTGAGGGTAATATACGTGAATACATTTTATAATTTTTTCCAAATCGTGGCATTTGGATAATCAAGCAAGAGGGAACATCGTTCAATTTGATATCGGACGCCCAAAAGCTTTGTTCAAATAATTGTTGAACACTCGGAAACGATAAATGCTCGTCCTTCTCAACAAACAACTGATAATAATACGTCTCCTGACCAGAATTCAGCTAGAAAAAGAAAAAAAGAAGAGCAAATTATAGAACCTTCTTTCAACCAAACGGGAATACATAACACTATATATTAACATAAAAAAAGTTATTTTTAAAGCTCAATCGGGCTTGCATTTCTCCGCTTTTCGTTTTTTTTTTTTTTTTTTTTTGTCATCTTTCTCCTTACCTTCAGAAAGGGTTCTGCTCTCATAATTTGAGCTAATAAACAATTCAAAAATTCTTCGGGATCTTTCTCCTCACTGGTTAAGCCGCTTACTGAACTAAGTTTCTCTAACAATTTTCGCAATTTCATGACACGATCAGCACGCACAAACATGTATTTACGCAGAGGATTTACAATTTCTTCTCGCAAGACTGTTTGGACTTCAGTATAGCTTTTAATATCCTACGGTTGACAAAAGAAGATCTCATATAATAAAAAAAAAAAAAAAATATCATAAACAAAATATCATATACAAACAAAAAATATTCGGAATTAATCAACTAAGATCCACGCGATAGGCTATAAACGGAACTTTGCTAAATGTACATATAACGTATACACTCAATAAATTCAAAATCATTTTTGTAAGCTTAGCCAAGACTTCCGCGATATTTTCAATGCATCCGGACAATAAACTTCTCTCAGCAGAGAAAATTTTAAAAATCGACTTCTCTGCTCTATATTTTTATTATAGGTGTATAAAAAAAATGTTATCAATTTTGGATCCATTTAACATAATCACTTTGATAAGACATTGCCTAAGATGAAGGGCGACGATTTTCGGTTATTTAGTTCGATTCGTTTAATTGATTAGTTCTTGGTAATTCTTAATTCAAAATTTCAATTTAAATATGTACAAACTTGTGACTCGCGCGCACGGAAGAGTATAGCGTCAAAGACTGATGTAAACGCAAACATTGAGAAAAGTGTTACATCCAAATAACAGGAATTGTGATGTCCTTGGATACCTTTAAATTTACCGCAAAATCCATCCAAGCAATCCAGGCTTAAACACTCTAAGCCAGAACGTATCGCAATGTAAAAATGAAAACGGAACATAAAAGAACATTATATAGTATGCGATATTTGAAATTATATTTGTATGCAATTGCATGCAGCACTCTACACATTTACTTAAGAAATTTTGCGTTTGTGCTAAGGCAAGTCCGTATAACACTCATCGAATATATATACTTGTGTAATAATTTTTTCATTATGAATGTCTCATCCTATTTTGGCCGAACCGAAGAATTGCTCGTCAGTTGTTGCTACGATCTTATAGATAACCTTTACGAAATATTCGGTACAGTTTTATGTAAATATTCCTTATAGGTTAGTTTAATTTTTTGCCCTTTGTGGTTACATTTACAAACAAACTGCAGTCGTTCTTCCATTGAAATTGTAAGGAGCCCTTAGACTATATCCTGGCGGCACATCAAACCGAGCGAATAAGGATGTATATATGAGAGGTTTTAACTTCTTATTTCCATTTTAGCACAAGCGTTTTAACGAAAAACAATCGGAAGATCGGACATACATATAATTGCGGTTGTCAGCGCGACTCTGATGTTCATTTTTGGATATTAGAAACGGAAAGACGGAGTTAGAAAAATATAAAAGGAAAGTGTAAAGTATGTCCCCTTTTACTTTTCACGGTGTCGACATTCATTCTAAGCATTTTCCTATCAATAATAAACGTTTAACTTACTTATAGGCGCCACCGCTCCCGGTATAACCGGACTATTCTTTTGCCCGAACATTGCAGCGTTTTCAACTTGCGCTCCATTCTCTATTTCGATATCACTACTGGTGGTATCTTTTGCGACTATATTACAAGTATCCGCATTACTGTAACGGGGATCAATTTTGCATCGTTCTGGACTAACAAAACGCCCTCGGCCCTCAAAACTTTTAAATAATCTGAAGCAATGGAAAAATGTCAATATATTAATAATTACAATAATATGAAAGATAAAATGCGTGCAATTACGTATCGCAGGCGATATCATGATCTTGAAAATTATTATCCTCATTTTCTTCTTCCATTTCGACGCCCACTTTAATAGATGTCTTCCCAGGTGGAATGCCGATCCAACGTATTACACCGTACTCGTTAGCGGTCGGCGTATCTACTGTGACCAACGAACCAATAGTCAAAGTTGTTCCAGGCACCATTTCCATTGACGGAGGATTTTGACCTTCAACATTGGAATAGCAAAAATCTGTTAATAATGATAAAAATATATATAAATTAATGAAAGTATTTAAACCAAATGCTACGTAAACTAAACAAGTGTGTATCTACAAAATATAGAAAAAAAACAAAAAGAAGAAGGATAGAAAATAATTTTAAAACGATCCCAGACAAAATAATAATAACCTGAATGATTTGAATTACAACTAAAATCCACGGGAATTGATGTAAATAACTCTAAAACCGTCAGAGGTATGTAATCGTACAGAGATGGCTCGTTTGGGGAGAGTGTAGAGGCTCGATCAGTTTCCATTTTGCCAGTGCGATTCACCGTAACGTACGCTGGTCTTATTATTATACTCAATCAATTTTTCTATAATACGGTTGCCGGTAAATTCACAATTTTATTGTCAGTCGAAATCGAATGAGAAATTGAAATTTATTGAAAACAATCAATTTATTCTGCTCATCTCATATGTAAAGGGAAGGCAATCGTTTACAGACTATATGACTTGAATAGAAGAAAGATTAACTTCTCTTCATTATATCGTGGTGTAGACACATAAATAGTAAAAATTTCTAAAAATATACATTTTGTACTCTTCGACCATGAGCGTAGCGTTGGATTATTTTGCTTGTCGCCCTATACTCTTAAAAACACATTTTATTTTTTCAAAGTTTTTTTTTTTTTTTTCTTTTATCAAACTAATGGAAAAGTTTAAGATTAGCAAGTATTGCGGTTGCTTTGGTACGCAAAATTACAGCAGGCCGAGGTGAGTTAGAAAATAGATAGGTAATGCTTGCAAAAATTTCATAAGTTTATCATAAATATCTCTGCATCATAGCTTTTGCTAATATAATCAATTTAAAATTATTTTTTAAATTTTGCTATAAGAAAACTTATTAAACTGTGTCATCACAGAAGTGACGCGATGGTTCTTACATGTTCAAGAAATGTATTAAAAAATGCCCTTTACATGAAAGAAGATACGAAAAATTTTTCCTGGAATGTGTTTCCATTCGTTACGGCAATCACTGCAATGTGAGTCGATAACGATATTAAGGTGAAAGAGCAAATCTTTTAGCCTTTTATATTTAACAAGAATTGTAACATAATTTTTTAAACCAATTACTTATATATTAAATATAGTTAACAGTCATATAGTTATGTTATAATTTATAGAAAATAAATACTAACTTTTCATTCTGTAATCAGTTTTGGCTGGAATTCTAGCAACTTTGTTTACTTCCCACAAAATGCCAAAAGTGTCATATTTAGAACCACACTGATGTCTCTGAACTAGCTGTGCCTGTACGCAATACTTGTTGCATTCAGATTAAAATGTATTCCCATCTAATGCAGGGAATAATTCGCAAATCTTCTACTTTTTACCCGAAAACTAAGTTCCTGTCTCATGTCTTGGTAATGCCTATATATATATATATCATATATTACTTATGTTTAAGGACAACTCCAATTAAATCGCTTATTCAAATCAAATTTATTTACGGTACTAGGTGTAATAATTGTGTTTTAATAATTTAATTGGCTTCTATTGAATCAAGAGCAGCTTACAATCTCGAAAAAAACGATAGATTCTTAAATTTAGTTTTTGTATTGTTTAATTAAGGATTCACTTGTTTAGACTACATTTTCATGTTTTTCCATAATTCTAAGTAAATAAAAAACTCATTTGCTTAATGTAAACTTCGGTAGTTTTCTTAACTCAAGATAAATTTAAGCATAAACGCTAATATGCTTTTAAAGCGAAGCTAATAAAAACTTACTTTGATTTTTCGAGTCATTCTCCTTGATTGTTGCAACTGTTGTTAGCTTATTTTCGTTGTCTTTTTCTATAGCGTTCTTGGCAGATGCACTTCTAATTGCTTCATTTGAATACCGCTTCTCCTGCCCTCCACGTAAGAGTCGGGCAGTAGATCGATCTAATATCGAGCCTAAACCACCTGCATGTTTTGGCCAAGAAGTACCCAATAAATCGGTAAAGTCAATTTCATTCTTATCAAGAACAATAACAGGGTCTTGTTTATTATATCCATCAATATAGAAAAGTTCGGGTTCATCTAAATCCATATGCGAGGTTGATTTCGTATTCTGCTCCTTGCGGATCGCTGAATTACTTCTCTTATTCTTTAGTATACTCGATGGGTGTTTGGTTTGTGTTTGAACCGAACTCCTACGACGCTCAGACTTTTTTTCATTTTGCATATTTACCTCTCTGTACTCTCCATTATCGTTTATTAGTTCAAATTCATTATTTTTTCGCTCTCTCTCGTTGCTATTGGCATTAGTATAGCTATCGGTTGTATCATAAAACAGAGCAGTTGGCTCTTTCTGTTTCGTCTTTTTTTCTCTTTTTAACGACGATACATTGGTGTTATTTTCAATGACCGATTTTACTTTGCCAATTGTTTCTGCAATAAAATCAGGATATTTTTTTCTTAAATCACTCGAGGTTGGATGAATCCAATTCGCTGTAGTAATTATAGCATATTTTGGTTCAACGTGCATGTAGGTTTTAGAAAATGGTATTTTCTCTGCTTGAGGCGAAGTATTTTCATTCTAAAATTTAAAAAAAGGGGAATAATGAGTCTGCAACCGTAGATTAGATGAAATACGTATGATATGTTTCACTGATCAAATGCTTTCTAGGAAGGTGGAAAGAAAACTCTAATTAAATCTTTACAATCCGTATCAATACAAAAATTCTTAACGTATATTTTAAAGTTAAGGAACGGATATAAGAAATTCGCGATAATTTTTCTTTTACTTAATTTATAATATTTATTTCGGTAACATACCAGTACTTCTAATCCAAAGAAGTAGCCAACTGGATATAATTCCGGAACAGGACCAATATAGCGAACAATGCACTCATATCGCTTATTTGACTTATTAAACAATTGCCCAGGTACAGTTACAAAGTCTTTCGCCTTTAGCGAAGTTAGCCATTTACCGTGCTGCTCCTCTTTTAACAAACACATTCGGTGTTCAGGCTCCACAATGGCAATTATAAATGGCCACAAATATTTATCAACTCTGCTTAAGTTGCATGTTGGGCATTCGTACAAATTTTCGTAAATAGGAATCTTATTCACAAAATCGAGAACCTGTACGATGCTCACACTTTTATTCTTTGCACTTTTCAATTGAAATATCTTAACTGGAGTGCCCTTTTCAACACTAATGCTTTCCTTTTCGTCTGCGTCAGACGAAAACTCTTCAGTTTGATGGAGAGACAAATCCGTCTTGCGATTGAGTAGTGCTAATTTGCTTTCAGTTTCTTTTTCCATTTCTAAAAAGAAATTGAAAAAAGGTGATCTCAGAACATAAAATAAAATCATCTGGAACCACTCAACGAAATAAATTACGGAATAAATGTGGGCAGTTGTTACGTTAGGCGTACTTGAAATTAGTCCCTTCTTTTTCTTTCACATTAATTTTAATTTATATTTATTTCAAATTGTTTGCTTGTTTCATATTATTAAGGAGCGGTCATGGAGGTTATATTTTTTGCGACTTTCAGAACGTATTACTTCAAGCCATTCTAATTCTTGATTCGCCACCACAAAACGCTATCGAGTATTAAGTACTACTTATATCTCTTGATTAATTGCAAACAGCATAAAGGAAGAATAAAAACAATCGAAGAATGGCATAATATTGTAAAACGCATCAATTTCCGGAAGAATATTGAAACCGCAAACCTTCTAAGTTGATAAAGTGGTACGCAAAACTTTTCGGAAGAACTCTTGAGTAACGATTTTGATGGGAATCTCTACAAAAGTATTCTAATAACGATTTGGTTGATGTATAATTACCAGGCGTTTTTGAAAACTGAAAAATGACGAAATGAGACTTTACGATAAGTCATTTTACGGAATAATAATTCCCTACCACACATTGGTAAATTTCTCAAGAGCAACCTCCACGCCGGCTATTATTCAAATCACTGCATGATAATCTGGCTAAAGCATTGCGTGCCTTCTTGAAATCAGTAAGAGAAAACGTAATGAACACAAAATAAATACACAAAACTAATTTAAATATTCTACATTTTACAGAGAAATATAAGCAGAAAAAAATATGTACACATTGGACCTTACCAGTAGGCATATTTTGGATTTTGCTCACAAATCTGTTCAAAAAATACATGGCTAGACGATGAATGTATGGAAACATCTTTGATATGTAACCATATAGATTCATGACGTTCTTACCCAGTTTTGTCTATGGCTTTTTGAATTTTCTGTGTTTCTGAGAATAACTTTGCTTCAAAAGTCAGTGATATACATTTGAGCTTATTTTTTTAAATTCTAAATGTCACATTCATGCCTTCATATACATTTGTTAATTATTGTATTGTGTACACCTATAGTTTTATAGTGCTAAATACGTCGTCAACTTACTTTTATTTCACTTTTTGCCACTTTATTCGACTGTAGTTAATTCCTAGTAATTTTTACGATAAATTTTTTTTCAATCTAGAGTTTATGCTTTGTCTGAATTAATCGGTAGTTCCCCTTTTAAATAATTACTCATTTATTTTTTACAAAAACGATATTTGCACTGAAATTTTATATTTGCATTTTGTGTTTTTCCTTTTTCTTTTGAATTAATTTCATTACAAAATCAGCTGTTCGTGTAAATTTGGCATTGAATAATAAATTCAAGGTTTTACTACTCATTATGCAACCGTTACATTGTTGGATAACATAAAGAGTTGTTGAGCAATAAAAATCTTAATTTCAGGAAAACTGTAGTTGAGTTTTGGAGAAGAAACAAAGTTATATTGTTGAAAAACAAAAAGATGATCGTTAAAATATATTTTTAATGAAGTATTTCTAGTAATCATGGGAAAATCAGCAAATCAGCTTCCTAACTAAATGCTTGTTGTGACATAATAAGAATTCATAGCTGTTTATAATGTAAGAATATAATTGGATAGGATTAAATATTAGATAAATCCAACTTCAAATGGATTTTATTTCCACATAAAATTTTCGTCATGGCTTCAATTGCTTTAGGGTGTCCAAATTCGGGTTCCAGATGTTTTACGCACATGTATTTTTATGTATTTTTACGTATTTTTATGTGTTTTTATATATTTTTATGTGATGTGGAGAAAGAAGAATAAATATTTCCTATGTTTACATTCTAACAAGTGGTCGCTCTTTACTTACTTTCTAAAGTTGCGAAAATCGAATTTCTGCAGCTACTCTCAGATGTTAGCAATTTTTATACACATTTTCAATTATTGAGAAGCGTAAACAAATGTGGACGATTATTCTCAGGTGTAGGCAATTTTTATACAAATTATTGAGAATAAATCGAGCACACTCAATCAAGCAATTTTTATACATTTGAATACCAATGGCGGAAATATGGCTTTGATTGCTTTTTGCTCATTGCGGTTGAATCGGTGGTTACATTTCCGAAATACGCCAAATTACGTTTAAAAATATTTTTGGATTTTTTCGAACCAAAAGTTTCTAATGAAGCCAAGTTTGATTAATGCTATTAAAGATGTGTATAATAAAAAAAGAATTAAAAACACTAACAATTCAGATCTTTTATTTGTTTCAAATCAATTTTTTGCATTTGGTAGGTTTATTTGTTCAACGAAATAGTCTATACCTTGAGTGATAGAGACATCTAATGACGCTTTAATGGATTCCGCTGTTAACTGTATGCTTTCATAAGTATTTTTTAAATCCTCCACTTGAGAGCGGTGAACACTTATGTTTTCGTGATCTTCTGCTCCATCGAGTAGCTTCTTAAATTTCTCCAATTCCGTGATGTTAATTAATCCGGTAGCAGTATTAGAATTTAATTTGCTTTTTATGTTCTCTACAGCCTTTTCAGTCTCTTCCAACGGTAGTTCTATCTCGGTATCACGTTGTAGAATTTCATGCAAAGCAGAAAGTTTTAAAAGAGAGGCAAACTTTGCATACAAAATGTTATAATTCAGCATATTTTCCTCCAGGTTTTTGTTAGCCAACTCAACCTGACGCTTAATGTTGGCCTCATTATCTTTAACACGTTTATGTGCTTCCAAATACATCAGCCATTTTATATCATCAAGATTATGCTGTTGACTTGATGTATTGCTACTATTGTGCGGGCTGGAATTGGAATCGATAGTTTGATTAGCGCTTGATTTGCCTTTCTTATTAAATGGTTTAGATTTAGCTGACATTCTTTTTTCTTTTTTTGGAATTTTTTCAGAAGGAAATCGTAATCTAAACGTCTGAGATCCCCAAATCACTTTAAATAATCCGCGGTATTTTTTATTAGTTATGATATTTTATATTATTTAAAACAGCAAAGCATCTGTTCAAAATGCTTCATAAAAACAGGGATGTGCGATAAACAAATTTTATTTTTCGATATTGTTAAATGAAATAATTATATGTATTTTATAAAAGACTACAAGTAAAGTTAGTAAAGTAAAAAAATATTTACATATATTTTATAAAAGACGTATAAAGTATAAAGTCTCATACTTTTCTTTCAAAGGCCAATAAATAATATTATCTTCGAAGTCTAAAATTATTTTTTTTAACCACCTATTAAGAAAATCAATTAATATACTTTTAAAACAATTTTTATAAATTTTTTATTCAGTACAGCCATTGTGAAGTAAATGATTTTCTACTAAGTCCCACTTCCAACGCATCTAATAACGTTATATACTAAAAAAATTTTATATTTGAAGCAAAATTTTAGTAGAAACTTTTTCGATTATTGGTTCTGCAGAGAGGGCTTAGCACAAAAAAGACTATTTGTAGGCTTATGACTTAAACTATAATAAAAAAAGAATGTAAGCAATCTTCTACGTTTTCTCATTTTGCTAATCATATCCTTATTGATGACGTTAACATTAATTGGTATTTTCTACATGGGTTTCATTTTCAGTAGTCAAATAGTAGACGCTTTCAATAAGTTTAAAGGAAGTTAATATGTGTATTACTTGTGATGACTTGGAAAGGCACTTAAATATATTGCTTGTCACGACTTGGAAAGGCACTATAATATAATCACTCATTGATTTTTCAAATCAGAGAAAGGTGATAAAGTGTTGATGAGTACTACCCCATTGTCATCTCCAAATCCAGCAATAACTGACTGATTTGAAAAGCGTTCTTAGTAAATAAGCTGGAATTTAACAGTTAAGTACATTTAAAGTTATTTTAGATTGCGTAAAATTTGTGAACGCTGATCGATTACACCTTTTATTAAGCAAAAAAAAAGCACAATTTGTCGTATATATAAGAAGTTTTCAAAGCAACTTGGTTTTAATATGTTTGCAAGTTGTCTACCTGATTTTATATAAAAACCTTCAAGAAATTATGAATTGCATATACATATACATTAAATAAGTTTAGCAACATTTTTAATTAAATCAATAAGCAATTCTTGGTCCACTAAGGATATGAGGCTAAAAAGTGGGCGCGATCAGACACGATAACATTGCAGAATAAATTAAAATAACCTACGAAAGCGCCGACAATATTTTTATTTCCCCATTTATATAATTTAATTCAGTGAATATATTGCTGAAAAATATTCATTAAAACCACGTGTATGTTCTGCGTAAAAATTATCCCGTTCGGCTCACTAGTACGTTCACCCATATTTCCCATTTATTGTAACGTATCACATTTTTCGAATGAACATGAAAATGATCTTAGTGGACATCTGTGTCAAAGTTTTTTGAAATTATGGAATCGAAATTTATACATGAACATACGAAAAAATTGTCGGTATTTTGCTGAAATTGTTTTATCTTCGTCTAGCTGGTAGACGTGCTGTAAGGGAAGCACGGCCGTTTTCTAATCTCGTATTACTAATTAATGAAGAAATCTTTATGCTAAGTTCCAGCTGCCTATTCTCATTTTTGCGATAATGACGATTCACAAAATTTACCCATCAAATTAAGGAAGTTCCTGTAAACCCAGCGTTAAAGTTTAGTAAAAAAGCTATGTAAAAATGTGTTAGTTTGGGGAAAAAGAAATCCATTATTTTTTCGGTAGATGGCTGCACTGATAGATTTCTCGTAAAGTATCGATCAAACAATTTCAGGCTTATGCTCGTTGGAAAGGTGACATTTCGCAGTAAAAAAAATTCTTTTGCTGTTTTTTGTTTGGTGCATTCAGTTGTGAGTTACAGCGTGTTAAAAATGGAAGTGAACATAGAGAAAATTCGGCACATTTTACAGTTTTCCTTTGACAAAGGCGAAAATGCAAGCCAGGCGGCTAAAATTGTGAATGGTGTTTATGGTTCCGATACTGTAACAGCCAATTATGTGCAATTTTGGTTTCGTAGATTCCGTTCAGGAATTTTTGATGTTAATGATGCACCGCGCACAGGTAGGCCGGTCGTCGAAAATGTCGATAAAATCGGAGAAATGATCGAAGTTGACCGGCATGTTAGCAGTCGTAACATCGCCCAGGAGCTAAAAATCGACCATAAAACAGTTTTAAACCATTTACACAAAGCTGAATTCAAAAAGAAGCTCGATGTTTGGGTGCCACACCAATTAACAGAAAAAAAACATGATGGATCGAATTTCCATCTGCGAAGCCTTGGTCAAGCGGAATGAGGTAGACCCATTTCTTAAACGGATGGTGACTGGAGATGAGAAATGGATCACATACGATAACCCTGTGCGAAAATGATCGTGGTCAAAGAGCGGTGAAGCACCTCAAACGGTGGTCAAACCAGGACTAACGGCCAGGAAGGTTTTGCTATGCATTTGGTGGGACTGGAAGGAGATTATTTATTATGAGTTGCTTCCATATGGCCAAACGCTAAATTCTGATCTCTACTGTGAACTGAACCGTTTGAAGATAGCGATTGACCAGAAACGGCCAGAATTGGCCAACAGGAGAGGTGTCGTGTTCCACCAGGACAACGCTAGGCCACACACATCTACAGTGACTCGCCAGAAACTTCGGGAGCTTGGTTGGGAAGTTTTAATGCATCCGCCATACAGTCCGGACTTGGCACCAAGCGATTATCATCTTTTTCTTGCATTGCAAAATTTCTTTAATGATAAAAAATTGAAATCTAGGGAGGATTGTGAAAATCGACTACTAGAGTTTTTTGCAAATAGAGACCAGGACTTCTATGAGAGAGGCATTTTGAAGTTACCTTTAAAATGGCAACAAATCATACAACCAAACGGTGCATATTTGACCCAAATCGGACAATCCGAAGCAAGTTAAATAAAGTCCTGAAGTTCATATAAAAATAATGGATTTCTTTTTCCCCAAACTAATATATATATATATCTTATAAATTACGTTATATATAAAGTTACTGCATGCATGTATATATTAAGCTTCTTACTTACATATACAACGACTGTGAATAGGATTCGTGAAAAGTTTTCACGAAATTTTAAATTAAAACTAAATATTGAAGTACACTATGTATTATTCATATTTTATTGCCTTATTATTCGAATATCATTTTGTAAAATTTTATTATTAAATCGAGTTTGAATCTAATAATAATAGCGAAAATAAGTACATTTTATAAATCTGTTACAAATGGAATAATGATATTATTATAGCGACTGAAGATGGTAAGTATAAACCAATGCATCTAAAAACGTAAAATAGAAAAAGTTAAATAAATTAAAATAAAATTATAATTTTGATCATTTTCCGAAACTTAATAAAATTCGTTTGTTTTTTTTCTCATATATAAAAGTATGTTTATAATATGCAATATAAGTACATATGTAAATTTTCGAGTTTTTTGTTTATCTTAAAAAAAAGTAATTATAAATTATGTTACGACAATGAGACGCAATTAATTCGATTTAGGTCAAAAATATCGAAATTCCCCCTTCTTTCCCATTTGTTTGCTACGTATCCATTCCGTATTATCGTTTGACGTTGGCCGTCCTGATGGCGGCGGTGTTTCGACATTTTCCTATAAATGATTACATGTTAACCAAATGCGAAATACAAGTTGCAATGGAATACGTTTTTTAACTCACCAGCCTATGGGTATTATTGCCTGTTTTTAGCGATGTATAATTCGAGTTTGTTTGATGGCGGTTATAAAAAGGTTCAACGCGATTTGCATCGTTGTCGCCATAATTGAAAGGTGTAACTATTGTATGAGGCACATGAGCAATCTGTCCATGAATGTTACGAGCCTTCCACCATTTTCGTGAATCATCAAGTATCTTGTTCATACAATAAAAAATAACGGTAAATATAATGTTAGAAGGACTGAAATTAAAGCAACTAGTTTTTAAAAATACTAAGATGCTACAATTGTGTTGAATTGAAATGATAATCGTCACCCCCGGCTTATGCGGAATTAAAAAAATGCTTTTGGAAAAAAACTAATAAAAAAATCATATTACCCTTAGAATGTAAAAATTGTAAAAAAAAAAATTGTTAATTTAGGATTTTTATCTATTTATTTATTTTATTAAAATAATATTCCAAAATGTTGATGGAAAAAGCTATGGGGAATTATTGCTAATTATTCATTATTTAAAAAAGAAAAAGCTTTAATATCAGAGGAACAGGGGCGCGTGCTTGTTTGTTATCTTCTGGTATCCGCCTGAGTGGTCGAGTAGGCAAGGGTCTCGACTAGGAACTCAATGGTCGTTGGTTCAAATCGCAAATGCGGTAGAATTTTTAATATAAAGCCGAAAGTTTTCGATGCTAGTGCTTTAAGACTTTAGTCTTAGAATTTATTCTCTGGCTAAATTTATAATAATAATAATAATAATATCTTCTGATAGTTTGACTATTGCAGGCAACCTTGTCAACGAATTAGGCTTCTCATCAAATTTGATCTCTCAGCTCTAATCGAAATCGAGTTAAACAAACTTATAACTATCTCGCTTAATTTCTGTCACGGTGAACTTTCTAATAGTAGATGACAGACGGATGTGACGGACAAATTGGAAATCGCGATCTAACAGTAATTAGATTTAAATTATAACGAAAACAACCTATCTCTATATACTCAGTCCTTCGTTAATGGCTGTAAAAATTTAAGACAAATTTAACCTTTATTGAAAGTTTTCCACTTTTGACAGACAGGAAACACCATCGCATTTTAAAGTGTAATATTTTTACAACATAACATGTCTCCGTTATATATTTACGCTGCTTTGAAATTACTTTAAAGTTATTACTTCTATATACGAACTTTTGCCCGTCGAACTAACTGTCTTTTAAAAGCCCTGCAGCGAATGCGATATAAAACCGGATCAGATCGGAAGTATATCGATAGGCTTTTGTAACTCACCTCTAAATATTCACCATGGACAACGCTTAATTCTTTGTCATTGTTAGCTGTTCTTGGGTATGTTACCAAAACGATTTTCGAGCCGTTAGCTTGCAGCTCATCCAGCCACTGTTCCACTTTTTGATCATCGCCAGTTGTTGAACTATTCATTATTTCCGTAGTTGTTGCTTGAGTTTGTTTTGTGGAAGTGGCGAGACGTTGTTGTTGATTACGTGTGTACAAATTCTGCATACCAGCAGTAATAAGTTGGACTTGATTATTCGGACCAATTTGGTTTTGATGGTTAACATTACGCTGATGTTGATGTTCAATTAGACCACTTGGCCGTTCTATAGATTCGATATTGAGTTCACTACGCGCCAAATAATCGCCTGTATTAACTCCAGGACTACGACGTATATTTTCAGCAGGATGGCTAGAAATGTATTTATCGCTGCCCCCATCATAATCGTCATATCCACCAGCATCGTGTATTAGAGATGTTGAGTTATTAGAATCCGGCACAACAGTTGTGGACTCACGACCACTGTCTGCACTACGTGCATTACCCACTCCGATTGGCAGCGTTGGTGGAGTGGTAGGTTCATGCTCATCAACAATTAAATAGTCAGGTGACCAACCGTCAAGAAAGACCGGATGATAGGATCCTACATCTTCTTTCCATTGATCACGTGGAACCGTCCAGGCATCGCCCAAAGACCTCCACAATTCAGTTTCCTTGCTTGTGACGCAGTTAATTAATAAATTTACTGCTTCTCGTGTTAAAAGAGGATTAGTTACTCTCGTCGGTAGCTGCGACTCATAATAAGTATCATTGGCTGCTTCCACAATCAAAACTAATGGCGTAAACAAGAAATGGACCAATTCGGGGGCATTGGGGTCATGTATATGAGATTTTAGTTTAGCCAACAGATTAAAAGATAATTTAAATTTCGCAAAAATATCGATGAATTCCTTTTCATGAGGGGGTCGCGTGCGCAAAGTTAATAGACCTTCACCCGGATCCTTTTTCTTCGACTTACGATTACGACGTCTGCGCTCTAATTCTCGGGATGCTGCAGCTGCGTGTTGTAAGCGAGCTATAAACTTTTCAATATCATCGAAACAATGGTTCAGAACATTAACATCCCGCTCATATTTGTCACTTGAAACTGAACTTGTTTCATCATTCAAGCTAATGCCCACACCAGCATGATCCGAGTCCGTGTCGCCACCGACTCCGCCAGCTAGATCACTATCGATAGCCGCAGCATTACGTCCACCGTACGCGTGCTCTTTTTCCAAAGTTTGTGAATAGTGATGTCCACGTGTGTTATGATCTGAGGATCGAGAGTGCATAGGCTTGTTGACACCAGCAGCATCGGCATAGTTGTTATTATTCGTCTGCTTGTAACCTTGATGGGCATTATGCGAAATCGATTCTGTTTGTGGCATAACGAAATTACCGCGCTGTAAGTTTTTTAAATCCTCCACCAGATGCACGGCTGATACACTTTGGGACTACAAGAACACATGAAATGAAAATAAAAATTCGGGCAGCAACAATAACGAGATATTGTACAATTACCTGGAATATATGCATTTCGGAGCGTGCTCCATTTCCTCCAGAAACGATAAATACTAAGATATTATTGTATAGTTCCATAGCATCAGTAGATGTGAAAGCGGTTGGCTCTTGTATAAGTGAAGCCGGAAATTTCTCGATAATATTCTATAATCATGTGCATATGTGAAATACATCTTTAGGTTTATATTTACAAAACAAGCTTACTCCCGTCTCGTAGTCCATAATTAGAACCCAGCGATGATCGAGACAAAGTTGCATTTTCTGCGACCATATTCCTGTTGTTTTCTCCAACTGCAGTAGACGTCGCATCCCATCAGCCGGGTAAACAATGCCGGAATCTTTGTTAACAGTAAAAGTGGCCAAGTGCTCCAACAGATAAGTCGGCTTGTTATGAATTATTATTTCACTGTTATCGTTGCGGTCGTCACCACCGCCGCTTCTGGATTCTCGCTCATCACCAGAATATTCGCCGTGCAAGGGCGGACCGCTGCCCCCACTTCTTTGCGTACCGGAATCCACCCCAATACTGCTGGCACCTCCATTTAAATGATGATGATACGACATGCTTAGAAATAAAAATTCAATATTCTCCATATATTATATAAAAACATTTCGCTTAGTTCAAAATTTTTCTAACAAAACAACAGTGACGATGTTTATCTCAATTCTGATTTAGGCGCGCTATGCAGAAATTTGAACTTAGAATTAAATAAATGTTCTTGATCAACCTAAAATGTTGAGTTGTTTTTAGCATTTCTCCCTATCCTGCTTGAAAAAATTTTTATGTTTTGCACATTTTATTATCTATTAATAAATAAAATAAAATATATACAAATAAAATAAAAAAAAGAATAAAATGTTAGGCTTTGAATAGTCCAAAGAAAAGAGAAAGTATGTCGTTACATAACCTTAATGCAACAAAGTTTTGAAGAGATCCAAGAAAAAAGAGAAACCTCTCATTTCCTTGCTAACTATGGGCGGTTCCATGGGCCAATTTAAGGGATTATCAAATTGCGACTACTAACGATAACTAAAAATTTTGCAATTTCTTGAGATCAAATTGAGAACAAGACTCAATTTTAACGCTGTTCGCATTGCTGAAGAACATACATATTTATATGAAACATCATCGATTAAATATTTACATGGTTTACAAACATTTCACGAAATTAATGCTTTAGTTCAGGTACATATAAGAATTAAGTTAAAGGATAAAAATCCACGCATCTCTCTATCTCTGAACGTGCAACGTCTAAATTACAGTTAAATTTAGATTTTATAGGCAACTGAGCAATGACATTAAAAATATCCGCTTTAAAGCATAAAAACCCGCTTATGTTAATCTAGTTTTGAGCGCAACGGTTTTTCTTCCGATCCCTGACTGCGACCTCAAGACCTCAGCTACAGAAGAATAATTAATAAACAACTTCTTCTTCATATTATATTGTCAGATTACATCCATTCTGAGTGTGTGCAATTAAAGTAAAACTTTTCCTAAACTACTTTTGTTTTTATAGATTGATGAACATAATCTTTTTTATCTTTTATTATACCGATCACCGTAAGTTTATATACATATAGGGTATACTGATTTTGTTTTTTTAAATAATGTACATAACATCCAAAAAGGAAGTTTCAGAGACGCAATAAACTATATGTATTCCTGATCACCGTTAAATTCTGAATTGATCTATCTATTTCTGCCCGTCTGTATATTTGTGTGCTGTTTGTTTTTGGCAATCTCCTGGTCGCAAAAAAAAGAGTATATATCCACTTTAAATTTGGTAAACACATTAGAAGCGTTTGCCCGCAGTTTGGTATTGAAAATAGGCGAAATTGTTCGAAGCAGAAGCCCGGACTCGAGTATAAACTGAACGCAACTCTTTTTTTCTTAAAAAAAATTTGTGTGTTTTTGCTCGTTACTTAGAAGTGATAAAAGTTAGAAGGCTGCAATTTTCCACATTCACTTGACGAAACACTCTACTCTTTGCATGTAAAAATGTACAAAATCGGCCATGCACACACAAAGTTACAATTGATTAAATTTTATTTTTTTCACGTTTTTGAGGTTTTATGCTTATTTATCATAAGGCAAACAAAGCAGAATGTTTAAAATTATTTCGTTCACTTCTTAAATGAAGATATATTATCTGCGTAAACATGAGTTAATTCAAGAAGGAATATGGTAGACACCGCGATGACATTTTTCTTAATGATACCAGCGATATAAATATCAAATAAAGGAACTTGGAGAGTGGAATGCGAAAAGCATAGTGGTGGGTGTGCGAGATTCGGCCACCGCCGTATATAACTTTCTTACTTGTTTTTTTTTTTTTTTAAGAAACTCAACCAACCCTTATCTAGCTTGAAAATCAGTGAATCGATTCAATGAATTGTATTCTTTTCCGTATGGCTTTTAGCTTATACGTAATTACGATCATCTGTACGAATCCGTCTTTATTGTATGATGTGCAATGTCGTATAAAAATTTTATTTAGAAATGTCAAACTTCTGTCGATCTTACCTTACAATCCAAATATCTTACGATTTATTTAGCCACAATTGATTTTTTTTTGGCTTTTTAAAAAAATTTTCCCATTTTACCATCTAGTAATGATAATCAGAAAACATCTGTCCCAAAACGAATACAATGCTTATTTATTTATGAAAATTTTATTGGCTTTACCTGCCCAACCTTAATATGAATCAACTAAATAATGCAGGCACTAATACACTGTCTTACTTAACCCACACGAACATCTTCATTTTTCTATTAATGTTGTTAGAATTTATAATTCTAGTCTGAAGATAGCGTAACGAAAGCAAACTCACAGAGCAGTAGCAGTAAGCGAATGTTTTGCGTTATCAATATTTTGACTAAAATAGATCTGCATAGGAAGAGCACCAGAAAGGACGATTTTTTTGTTCTTTTGCCGTACTATCTGTTTTTTATTTTAATTTATAGAAATAGATGTATTTCGCGGTGATTTATCTCCACAACCATTTCAACACAATTTTATGCTAAGAATTCCAAATGACTTTTCTAAACTCGGCCTGAAATTCCATTGTAATTACGTTATTATATATGTATACGATGTGTTGCATACGTGTTTTAAAAGACAGCATTAACTAGTGTTCTTTTCCGTGTTTATTATTATAGTCCTTTCTTGTCTGTATGTTTAAATGTTTCAACATTTTATTTACCTTAATCCGTTATGATTATTTTATTACAACAAATATTATAATAATAACAGTAATGAATTCGTAACTCGCAACGTTGCTTTTCACTATTTTCGCTGCAAAATATATGTTAAAACTGGAAACAATACCAACAACAACATATATAACAAGTTATTTTTAAAAAATTCCAATATAAAACAACAACAACAACAACAAAACTAAAAAAAAAAAAGAAGAATTAAAACCAACACGTCTACACTATACTAACACTAGTTAGTTAGTAAAAACACTAAAAGCACAACAACAATCAAAATATCAGTTAAAACATCACTGTTGCCAACTCTCACCATTTTTCTAAAAAAGCTATTTAAATAAACTTTTTAACAAGCAATTGTCAAAAGTTTACTGAAAGAAAATAATTTTTGTATTTTCTTCATCTTTTGATTTTTTGATTACTGTACCCATGTTTAAACATTTTTCTATAGCATTCAATTAGATTAGTTGTTGAAGCTTTGAGAAATTTACCAATAGATAAAAAAGAATTATATAATTATATCCAGTTCGGCTACTCTTATATTGTGAGACGAGCTAATCCATTGTACTCAAGTTGGCTGGTCTATTTGAAATTTATTATTGATGGATTAGTTAATGAGAAGCAGGTTAGCAGACCTAAATGAATAGTCTGTTGAGACCCCCTAATCTTTTCTATTGACTGATGTTCGTTCAGGGAAGTCCATTCTGCTGGTGCAAACTAGTTTCTTTTTTTTATTGTAATTGTGTTTTTTTTTTTGTTTTGTAAACAAAAGCATAATAAAAAGTTACACCCAATCATGAAACAGCTTGCCATTAAAATCTATAGTTCATAATTAAGTGATGGGGCAGCAAAAAAAAAACTTCAAGACTAAGTTTTCTTTTCGGGTTAAAATTTTGAGTTTATAGTCATGATATTCGTTTCTTGATATACTAAAAGGATTGTTTTACATGTAATTATTTAAGACGAAAAGTCGCTAGATCCAGCGGTAAAAAGGTTACGTTGACGTTTTGCGAATAAATGAATGTTTGCGGATACATATCGCTGTAAATACAAATGTATTATATACACATGCAGGCATGATAACTATACACACACAAGCAAAAATTCACTTTAAATAGAGGGTATATAGAATAAATGATACGGAATAATTAGTTTGGCGGTTGATTGTGTTAAAGAATTTTTTTGCTTGTAAGTATGTAAAAGAAACTAAACACTACCAGGGTTATTCTAAAATATACTGCAATAAAAACGTATTTTTAATACACACATTTTAAGAAAGCGCTTGTCGGGATTTCACATTTATTTCGAATAAAGAGGGAAGATATTTGTTTTCAATACATTATACCTTTTCTTTTTGGAATGCACAAAAACCTTCGCTAATGGACTTCATAAACAAAAATAGCTGCGAAAACGGCTTTGCGACATTCCTGTACCTAAATTTTAATCTCAATAATCGAATGAGGATGTTAATTCGAAACCGGAAAAGTGTTTTGGGGTCGTCTAGCAAATTTTTATGTGGATAATGTGATTTTCGGCAGATAAGAATGTATGATGTAAGCATAATATATAAATAATGATTTTTGAGTTGCCTGCCTTAAAAATATATGACATTTTAAACGCATCAGATAAATTTTGTCGATTTTATTTATTGGGTAATAGTTGCTATCGAACACTTTAAGTGTTGGTAACTCTATAACCCCATACGATATCTACCCATCACTAAAATTTATTACTTTTTCGGCTCTCGTCGTGTGCGAATTTTCAAAAAGTAGTGAAAATAAAGAAAAGAAAAATAAGTTTTCTTCCTGTTTTTAATTTACGAAGTTTAGAAAAATTTAACCTAATAGCTAATTTGAAATTATGACTGAAGAATTTTTAATTTATTATTTAGTCGCTTTAAAATCTAGAAATTTACTTTCTTAGGAAATGAAAGTAAGGAAATGATAACAAACGATATTGTTACTTGCAAATGTTATGTATAATCTAAAAATGACCATTAAATCAAAATAAGCCATATCAACAGAGCTGCATAATTTAGTAGTGTTTGTTATTATTATTGCTATTATTATGAGTGCTTTACGATATTTTATGCAAAAGATTGTATTTAAACAAAAAATTAATAATATCGTGTGTGTTTAATGTTTCTTCAAGTAGCTCGAAATACGCAGGTGTTATTCACATAGCCGCAAATACCGTGCTGCTAATGTATAGACAATTGTTTATTTCAGCTGACATTGTTATTATTAGAGATAACAACATGAAAAGATGTCCAAACATTTTGTTCAAAATTGGAAGTAGTAAATTCTCAAGGACTTTTGTCAATTTTGATACCAATAACAGCAGTAGCGTTGTCAATTACCAGCGACTTTGTCTGGCCTTTCGTTTTTATTATTTATATTGATAAAAATTCTTCTAAACTGCTACATTACGAAGCTTTGCAATACAAAAGCGTCAAGGTTTGTGTATTTTTAAACGAATATGCGCTTTGCCATACATATGTGAGCATGTATTTACGAAAAAAAAGACAAACTGTATCTACCAACGTAACTTTTTTTTATTCATGGTTTAATTCATATTTAAGAAATAGAAGTTTGATATTCGCCAAAAGTATGTTAGATTTCACTGTTTCCAATTTTGAACAGAATGTTGGGACGTCTTGTCATTTAGTTATCTCTGGTTATAATCATATCGTATATCGGAATAGTATACATTACATGAGCCGACGCAGCAGACCAGGAATTTATTCAGTATCAAAATATTTTTAACCCTTATAAAGTATTCAATAGTAAAATTAGCCAAAAAGAAATAATTAAAATAAAGAAGTAACGCCAAGTTCGTGTATAGAACGTAAATTAAAAATTTTGTAAAGTTCGAGTTTACGATTAACAAAAGAAAACACCGTATTTATTATCGTTAACTTGATAAACTAGTCAGCAGCGGGTTATAAAAAAAAAAGAAGGAAAACATTTCGCTGTGACGTCGTTTGTGTATTTTTGGAGTATTCATTTGTAATACTCTCTTGAAATAATAGCAAGCAAATAAGAAGAAGCGACAAAATTTTAAGGCTTCATTTATTTAGTGAGGGTGTTGCCGCTATTGTCGGGTACAGACTTTAAGAACAACTATATATATATTTTATGCGTTACCGTCATCGTTGATGACTTTTGATATATATATATATGTATATATAAATACATATGTATATATTCATGCATACATATATTTTCTGCCGTTAAAAACTTTTCTCAACCCTCTGAAGATAGTATTTTGTGGAAAGTAGAGCGAGTAGTGCTCGAGTAGTGTTGCGTTTTAGTAAGATTAAAAATATATCTACCACTACTCGTAACGCAGATACCTGTTGTTGGTCTGTTAGGCGTTTCCTACAAAATTTCTTTTGAAAAGATTGGACACTTCTAAATAGTTTAACTTTACGTGTTTGGCGTTAAAAATTTTAAGTAAATAGTGGCAATGGCTGAAGCGGCAAGTGCACCAACAGCAGGTGGTTCTCAACAAAATAATAGCAATAATGCAACGAATGTGGTAACAACTCCTGTTGCCGCAGCTACTACTACAAATCCCAATGCAGAAGTAATACGCGGTCAAGTATTCGAGGTTGGTCCACGATATCGCAATTTAGCTTATATCGGTGAAGGAGCTTATGGGATGGTCGTGTGAGTATAAAATATTAAAATAAATGTATATGCGTGGCTGTGTCTGTAAACGTGCACTATCTTATTGTATTGTATTGTATTATTATATTATTGTATATGTACTTGTACATATGTATTTGAGTTTAGAATGTGTTTCTTGGTAAAGGTTGAGCATGAGTAACAATATTTGTTAACTTATCACATATCTGAATGTTTTGTGTGCTTAACGGCTCCGCATTTATTGCGTTTACATTTTGAGTCATATTATTTATCTCGGACTTTTCTTGGCAAATTAAAACTTGTTTCATCCTAAAGCGAAAGTAACTTTTTTTTACCCACAACAAGGGCCATAAAAACCGAAAGTACGGGGTATATAGTTCATATATAAGGTATCAAATGTTATAGAAGTGAGAAATAATTTCATATAGTATAGAAAATAATTCGTGGTAGTTGCGTCGAACAGTAATAGAAGTGAGAAATAATTTCATAATGGTAGAAGCGTAAGCTTTTCTTTCAGATTATAAATCGCATTTCGAATTATGCGTAGAAAGGTAAAGGCCATTTAAAAATAGCGAAAAAGCGATTAAAAGAACTTGCAATTAAAAATTATATATTATTTATTCACTCTTTTTCTGAGATATCTCCGTAGAGTTAATACAATTTGGAGGTTAGCGACAAATTCTTTACCTTAATCTTTAGCGCAATTTTTGCGAGGTTTTGAAAATATCCATGTTACTTTAGTTGAAAGCTTTTACTGCGTATAAATTTTTTTAATATTTGGCAATCAGTAAAAACCAATCTGGTGAGGTCTGTCCATATAACGCCTTTGTGACGCGAAAATTAAGTTAATTCCTTGCCTAGGTTTCTTCTCATCAATTTTCCTATCTAACGTTGCTTTAGGCAGCTCTTATCACTTTGTCGGTTCAGAACTGATGCTGTAACTTATTGTTTCGAATTTTAAGCACCTGAAATGTAACAAATCGTTTTTAATTTCACAGTCGTCGTCAATATTAGCTTATCGTCACCTTTCACGGCACAAAAATGCTTTGAATCCTCAAGTGAAAAGCACCAATTCTTCGTATTTTAATTTAATTTTTTATAACAACTGATTTGTATATGCAAGAAAATATTTCAAATACACCCTGCATCTATACAATCTACATAGAATTCTAAGGGAAAAAACAGCAATTGCTCGTCACTAGTAGAAAACTTGCACGAAAGGACCCGCGGTTGTTTGGCGTCGTAAGGAAAGTTATTATACTGCATCTCTCACTTAAAGCTCCATCATAAAATTTAAATAAAGTCGGCATACTCTTTCAATTCAAATTCGCATCAGCACTTTTGCCCAATACTTAAAAAATTTTAGTTATCGCATTCAAATCCTGAAGCGAAAAAGAGAAAACATTGAGAAGTGTAACATAGTCTACAACCGACGTGAATTTGTGAATATAATCACAAACGATCTTTATATTGGTGTCTTAAATGGAACCAAGAAATATTTTTTATGACTTTAATATTGAAAATCCATTTCCAATTCAATAGGTCGTTAGGAGAGATATTTCGTTTTCTTGGCCAAAACACAAGTCACTTTCTCTATAATATGTAAATACTTTATCAACAATAGGAAAATTCAACAGCATTAAACTGTCAGTTTTTTCACGAGCAGTCATAAGGCGGTTGGCCGCAGCTCCTATCGGCCATTCAGAACGTGATGCAAAAGCGCTGAAAAGGAGATTTGCAAATTTCTCATTGCCTTCGTACGCATGTAAACGATGTTTTCTTTTTTTTGTTTGAATTTCACTTTTATCTTTTCGCCGAATAATACTGAACGAAAACTTTCCGCAGAATCAAACAAAATTTCCCCCTTACAAGCATACAGCGGTACCAGCTGTCAAATATAAGAAGACACTGCACCTTAAATGTGAACTTTGCTGTAAAAGAGTATAATTAAATCCAATGTTGCGAAAAAACGAAATGACTTTCCGAACAACCGAATCAAATAAATTGTTGGCAGTTAATTCGTCCAAAAATAGAAACAAAAGGAAATTGATTTTTATTTTTTTATTTTTTTTTTATTTTTATTACATATTTAATTTAAAATCTAGCAAAAGCAGCAAAGGTTATTGTCCCCCCGCCCCATTGGTAACAATATAACAACACACGTATCATGGTCAAATAAATAAGAAAAAAAAAAAAAGAAAAGCATGCAAGCTTTAAAGATTCATTAAAATAATTTAAGTAACAATCTTATATAATTTCTAAACGGTAAATCCACTTTATGATGACTTTTCAATGGTTGTGATCCTATTGGATTCGTTCAGAAAAGGTATCGCTAAACAAAAGTGTAAACATGACAAGACAATTTGAAGAAAGGCGTTTTAGGCGAATTAGGTGTTTAACTTATGAACAGCACAAGCTACCATATACGGTTTTGTTGCAAATAAATCAACCGGCGCTAATAATTAGACAAACTTGAATGTCGTAGGTTCAACTTGTTTGGATGATACTCTTGACTAAAATGCATTAATTTTTTAAAATTAGACAATTGTGATGCTTCCCTCCCCTTCCGTCTATTAGCGATGATAATCAGGGAGAACGCATACAGAAAATATTGCGTAAATCGGCACGGTCGGTGCTGCCACCCGATTTTCTCTATACATTGTATACAACATTTCTTTATCACAGCTGCTGTGGTCTTAGATTCTTGAATCTTGACTTGCTCAATGCCATTTTCAACCGAGATCTTACTAAATACTTTCTCATTGAAAAACCATATCGCAGAAAGGCATACTGCCTTTTAGCAAAATCAGCAATAATCTATAAGTCATTTAGTACTCGTGCCGAGTTTAAAGTATGTCCATCTGGAAGCTCCAAGCGATCAGATGGTCCTCATTATATTGAATCATTATCAAAGAACTAGTTGTTCCCTATAAATATTCCTGTTGCTAAATATAACATCAAATCGATATTTGGCTTTTTCATATTTATCTCTTAAATCAAGTTGTTTTTTTTTTTAATTATTTTTTAGCTCTGCTTTGGATACGCTGACAAGTACAAAAGTGGCGATTAAGAAGATTTCACCGTTCGAACATCAAACATATTGTCAGCGTACGCTGCGCGAAATCAAGATTTTAACACGTTTTAGGCATGAAAATGTAAATATGATATATAAATAACGCTAAATATGAATTCTATATAATAAGTTCTAACATACAGATTATTGATATAAGGGATATTTTGCGTGTGGATAGCATAGAGCAAATGCGTGATGTATATATTGTGCAGTGTTTAATGGAGACTGATCTATATAAATTACTTAAAACACAGGTGAGTCCGGTCCGTTAATACGATATGATAATGTAATAAATATTTTTAAATTTTTTTTTATTTTTTATTTTTTTTTATATATATATTATAGAGGCTAAGCAATGATCACATATGCTATTTTCTATATCAAATCTTGCGTGGTCTAAAATATATACACTCAGCGAATGTTTTGCATAGAGATTTGAAACCCAGTAATCTATTGTTGAATACGTCATGTGATTTAAAGGTAACAAACAACAAATCGTCTTAGGCGGTTTTAATTAATTACTTTTGTTATTACTCGTAATAGATTTGCGATTTTGGTTTAGCTCGGGTAGCCGATCCCGAACATGATCATACTGGTTTTTTAACCGAATATGTAGCAACGCGTTGGTATCGGGCGCCAGAGATTATGTTAAACTCCAAAGGTTACACCAAATCAATAGACATCTGGTCCGTAGGTTGCATTTTAGCCGAAATGCTCAGTAATAGGCCAATATTCCCCGGCAAACATTATCTAGATCAATTGAATCACATTTTAAGTGTATTGGGATCGCCTTCGAAAGAAGATCTAGAATGTATTATCAACGAAAAAGTAAATGCTGGCAATTAAAAAGTTTTTTTTTTTTTTTTTTTTTTAAATCTATTAACATGAGATCGTTATATCTTTATTTTAAAGGCTCGTAATTATCTGGAGTCATTACCTTTTAAACCCAAAGTGCCGTGGTCGCGATTGTTTCCCAACGCTGATCCTTTGGCGCTCGATTTACTCGATAAAATGCTAACTTTTAACCCGCATAACAGAATACTGGTTGAAGCAGCTTTAGCGCATCCTTATTTGAAACAGTATTACGAACCAGAAGATGAGGTAATGCTTATTTTAACAAGTGAAGCGACACATAACATTGCATCTATAAAAATATTAAAAACTTTTAGCCTGTAGCTGAAGTACCATTTCGTATCGGTATGGAACTAGATGATCTTCCACGGGAAACATTAAAAGCGCTCATATTTGAAGAGACATTAAAATTTAAGGAACGACAAGCTGATCAGGCCGTGTAAAGTTGCCAAATATCCAATATTTCAAGCCATGCAAGACATTAAGTAATAAAGCATAAATCTTTCGGATTTTAAAGATGATTATTGCAAACTTAAAAGGCGACATTATGACTATTACGCTTTATTGTCATTGTTTCGTCACAATCGTCGATCCAATCATTAAGTAAAAAAAAAAAAAAAAAAATCATAGTAATACCACTGCGCATTTGCACCTTATCGATACGGCTATTGAGTGCTACACACGAATCTTTATGATCTTCTCTTCTCCTTTGTACATCTTCTTACATCAATTGCACTTTTCAAGGTGTAGTATTTCGTGCTCCCTTATTTTCATTATTATAATTAACTACCAATGACTTTTGCAAAGTATTTTCATAAAAGTAGTCTTATTATTTTTAAAATACTTTTTTAAAACATTTTTATTTGCATTTTAGGTATTTTATAATTACGTTAGACATAACGACTTTTTTATATACACACGTCGCATATTTTTCTGACATTGATGATTATGTTTAACACTTTTGCACAGCAACTATACGGTATAGAGTTGAGATTTGGTGCAACCATTCTTACTTCTTTCACTCAAGTTTGTATTAAAAATAGATGAAAATTGCTTTTTTTTAATTTTAATCGCGTTAAATTAATTCTAAATTTAATTGTTTTAAGAATTCTTTTGGGTAAAGACATTTTCTCGATGAATATATTTGTGAATTAATCTAAAACATACGTATTTGAAGTGTAAAGTTTGAATCAAATTATACAAATTGTATAAAAATTATTAAAAACTCATTTTACAAGGTAAAAAAAAAATTTATTAACTCAGACTTACCGTCATGTTTGTCATCATTTAAGCCAGGCGTATATCATGTTAGTCGTCCTCCCCATCTTCTTAAAGTTGAATAATAACTGCGGGATATATGTGACTTTTGCGTTTCATATCTGGCCCCCCAAATCAGCCTTCTCTCTGGCGAACTTCACTTAATGATACCTATTAAGCTCCCGAAGAAGCTGTAGCATCTAAAATTTCATTCTCCGTTACCTTGAGTCATTATTTCGATCGAAAGAATGGAAAATCTATGGAACTTTATTTCATTTTGAATGATTCTTGAAACGCTCTTATTAGACAGTCGCGATTCTCGACGATTTCACATATCGTATCACTCGTACCATTGCGAGAGTAAATTTTCCATTTAAAAAAAAACATTTTGATGCGTTATCTCTTAATGATACTATATCGGAATATCTTAAAACCATGTACTTTATTGTGTCAGTTTGGTGTTTATAAATTTCCGAGAATTATATTTTTGGTTCTTCGAGACTTTAAAAGAAAGGCAAAATTCTCTTCGCATTTTTAAGAGCTCCAACATAATTGTATTCCGGAAAAAATTAAACATCATGGCGTAAGCTAGCGAGTATACTAGATTCCTGAAATTTTGCAATTCATTCTTAGCAAGATCAGTTAAAAGTTAAATAAAAGTAAAGTGTTATCTCGATTTCACTTTTCAAAATTGATTATAAAGATTCATAGGTTTTTATTGTTGATTTTCCGACTATGTTGCAAATTTTTATTTACACACATATTACACCATAGTCGCTCATTTTTCTAATCGTCCTTTCTGAAATGATTTGTATTCTGGAACTTTCTTACGGTGTAGAACTATGTTACATCTTTTAAAAATATAAAATTATATATATAGAAGCATATAGATTTTTTTTCGTTGAATTGAAGAAAACTGTGAGAGACATTTGATTCTACATATTGGCCGCCGTTCTGGCATTTTCTGAATATCGGGCTAAAAAAAACAATTTAGTTTTGAAGAATAAAGCTTCATCGACACATTTTCCCACTTGTTAAAAAGTTTTGAAACGACATAGCAAGCAAGAATCCACTTCGACGAGTTTTATTATAAGGAGTCATACGTCATCATACTGCAAAATCACGATGTCATACTTTCGGCAAATCGATATCGTATTTCAGTGCAATTCAGTGCATCGGTTGTGTCAATTAAATTAATGTTGAAGTCTATGCATATATCCCAATAAAGCCAAAGTTTATCTTATCTTATAGTAACTTTCCTCCATTCTATCAATTTCTTCGGCAGCCTTCGTTCATTTTCGCGAAAAATAGAACTGACGATAACTTTGCAAAATCATTCTAATAGCAATAATAATTTCAAAACTTTATTAAATTTTTTATTTTTTATTTTTTTTTGTAACTCCTGAACTTGCAACAATCCCGACAATAGAAAGGCTATCTATCTATGCTATTTGCTTTTGTTGTACTTCAAAAGGTATAAATAATACAAAATTAGTCGAGACGTAGAAAATGTAGGTGAACGAAAAGAACATTACGTAGTAAAGCAAAGCTTTTAACCAGTTAATTATGCCTATCCCACTTTAGCGATATACTCGCGATATATATATTTATCAAACAGAAAGTATGTGTAATACGAAATTAGGTTGTAATGAAATGGCAAAAATATTTTCTAAAATACATCACTATGGCAATTACACAATCACAATAACATAAAATTTTATAAGAAAATCCGATAAAAACGCATGGACCGACCATTACGTATACATGTACATTTAACTGGTTAAAGTGGAGCTCACTAGGATAATCTAGATTAGGTTAAATTGGCTAATTTTTGCCAACTCTAGTAAAAATTAGATACTCAGGAAATCTGAAAAAAAATATATAATTATAGTTTAAAAATTTATGAAAGACCGTTGAGGACATAATATTTGATAATAAAAGAATAGGAAAGAAAATGAACTATAACCTCTATCCTACCTAGCCGTATCCTATAAACTGAAAGAATTATCTTAATTCTCCGATATTGTTTTGAGATGATTATTGAAAATTATACTGTTAAGCATTCACGCATACAGCCAACTGACCGGCGCTAATAATAAATAAACCAGCATGGTGGCTTCTTTAGTCATCTTTGACAAACGAAATAATTGAAACGATGTTTAACAAAAAGGAAATCTGAGAAAAAAAAAAATACTAATTTTATTTATAATTAATATACACAAAAGGCATTTCTTTTACTTATATTCATAATATTTATATATCTATGTAATGTATGTATTATTATTATTATTATTATTATTATTATTATATGTTTACGTCATATGTATGTATATTTACCTTAAATTTCTGCTAAAAGTTATATAAAACATAATATTACCTTAATCCCAAAAGGCTTAATGAAAAACAAGCTTTTCGACAAATGATTGTAAATAATAATTAGTAAAAGCTTTTGGCATCTTTTTTATTTTTTAATTCGTAACATTACTTTGTCACATCATACATAAAATTAGCTTAAGCAATTTAATGTAGAAACGAATTCAAATTTTACTTGAAAATCAATTTTTCTCCCGCTATTACAATTTATTCGGTTTTTCAAGCACGGAAGGAAATTTAAGGAAAACGGTGTGTGTATTATGCCTCTTTGGAATTAAAAGTAAATCAATCTATATATATATATATATATGTTCTGATTTAAAATGTAAATGTCGAGAATGATTATATTTATGCAAATATTTACAATTGTTGTTAAATTTTTTCATTATTATCAACGTATATAACTTCAGCAAAGAAAATAAAATAAATTTAAAAAAAAGCAAAAACAAAAGGAGAATAACAATAAGCATAATAATAAAACTTTAATTTCAATAAATTTTAAATTTAAATAAAATTATCAGAAAAGTACTTTTTCGTCTATGTTATATAGACTTTCTTTTCGTTAGAATGCGTGTAGAGTTAAACCATTTCTGATAACATGAAAGCCTTAATCGTCGGATAAAATAATTTGAGCGTCTATATGTTCTTTAGAGTAAAATAAAAATTAAAGAATGGCATTTGTCATCCTTTGAGCATAGAAATAATATAATTGGCAAGCGTTTATCCATTATTATTATTATAATTTTTTTTTTTTTTTTTGTGTGTAGATGTAGAGTGGATCATGTCAATGAGAAATGTGGCTTAAATGTGCAGATAATATATTATGATGATTATTTGCAATAGATATATATATATGTATGTAAAATTAAGAAAAAATTAAGGCTATTGCATATTCAGGCCGATATATCAAGTGTATTAGTAGATTGTGAAGGTGTATATAGCGACGTAAGAACAAAATTGGAAAGTTTCGCTGAAACAAGATTATTTTAGAGATAAATTTGACTGAAAGAAGCGATGACTGAAAGTAAAAAGTTACCATAAGTTAAAAGGACAAATTCGCTTTTCCAATAAAGCAAGTTAGTTCCCCAAAATAAGCACAATTTTTTTAATTTGAAGAGATCGATGAGACCGTCATATAAACCGAAAACGCTGAAAGTATATCTAATACTATCAAACTTTTGCTAGTATTTTCGATAGTTTCCATTAGTATAGCACGAATCTTTTTTAAATATACTGTAACATAAATCTGCCCTTTTTTGATGCTGCATTTCTTATTACACTTCTTTCGAAATTAAGTTGGCGCCACATTTTTAGGTTAACGTAGGTTTTATTTACAATTCATAGCAGATCGATTCACGCATTATTTACTGGAACTTATATTTACAATGATTCTTCCGATTTTGTTCGTTTGAATATTACGGTTTAACTCTCTTGACTCGATTGAGTTTATCTCTCGCAAAAGTTCTGTTGATACATCCAAGCAACCAATACCTAACTTTTGTTAAAATATGCTTGTAAATGATGTTAATCTTTTCGCCAGTCACCAGCTGGACAAGGCAGGTAAACCGTTATGGATTATTGTAATAATATCTTTATCATAAGTTAAAAAATATGCTAAGAAGAAAAATACATTTATATAACGCGTCGATTAAATTGACTAGCTGGTCAATTTGTTGTTTGCATCTCTTGCGATAGTTCATATTGACGATATGCAACAATGACGACAATATATAGGAGAAGAAAAACACGAAAAATTGCAAATCAATTTATTAAATTTGAAATATACATCAATACATTCTAGTTTCGGAAAAAAGGAGAAAAATCCCGTAAAAAAGAGCAAAATTTAAATATATTTTCAATTCTTTTTTTTACCCGCCTGAGTGGCCATTTATTTATCATAATCTTTCACTTTCATAAAATTGAAAAGCTATTTACCTAAATTTGTATTTCATACTTATTTACTTGATCTATTTTTTGTATTATATAATATGGATTTTATACTTAATCCGCCTGAGTCACCGAGTAAGCAAGTGTTTCGACTTTCAACTCAATGTCATGCCAGTGCATGCATAATACCTATGGAGAGAGGTGAGTTAAAATGTATAACTAGTACACATATATTCGTACAATGTTTGCTGACTAGCCCTTCAGAGACTTTAAATGATCGTAATCCTATTTTCTTAGTCATAGATTCTCAATGTCATACATGCTTGAAAGTGTGAAGATTTTTATCTAATTGAATATGTCAAAGGTTAATATCGAACATTTAAAATTTCTTGTATTTTACAAGTTAGCTTAGAATTAAACCGTCATAATTTTTAAACAACGCCCTCGCTAAATTCCCTGTTGAAAGGCAAAGCACAGAGTCGCTTATAATATATATAAATGGTTAAAAGCCCAACTTAACAACTTAAATGTTAACGCCAATCAGAAGGTTCAAGTCTGTAGAATAACGGACCAACATTAGGATTAACATTAGCTAACGGACCAACTCTGTAAAATAACATTATCTAACGGACCAACTCTGTAAAATAACATTATCTAACGGACCAAATTAACAAAAGCCGTCGGCAAGTTTTCAAAGTATAATTTATTTTTTATCTCAAGTAGGGTAGAGTTTTTTTTGATGCTACCGCTTTAAGAGAAAAGAATTTATTCTCTGGCTAAATTTATAATAATAATAGTAATACAAAAATACAAGTTAGCCTAAAAGTAGACCGCCATAATTTTTATTATCAAATTAAACAAAGCATACCTGAATAATCTGTTAAAGAGGCAAAGCAGTAGTGAAATAATATGTTATATTGCAAGCTATTGAAGTAAAACAATTATCATCCAAAAAAAGAAAAAAAAAAATTCTGCGTCGCTTATTAAAAAATTGCAAGATATTCAAAGAAAACCTTTTTTTTTGTTTGAAGACATACGAAGTGATTTTTGTAATTTTCCAAAAAAATATTTTCGTATAATGTTGATAAATTATTTTTTACAAAAATTTCTCATAAAGAAAAGTTTAACATCTCTGGCTTTGTTAAAGACGTGGAAGAAGTAACCACTTTCTATTATTATGGTTACTTGCTTTACATATAGATCATCCAGTTACTTGTGAACAAACGCTTTGTTTGCAAACCTAGTTCAGCGTTTCCTTGCATTTCTGCATTGCGCCGCTGCGTTACCTAACAACAATTTCCTACTAGGTAAAAAGTGTCTTTTCACCTTTCGCTTCAATGTATATTTCGAACGATTTGCAATTAAGGCTCGAATTCCTGCATTTTATAACGAACGACGCCGAACACTATTTTCTTTTACTTTTTTATATTACTGACATGTTAACCCTCTACATCGAACAACTTGTAACGAGTTTTGGAATGGCGGTATACATTCCTTTCCGAAAAGGAAATCAACCGACGTATTTTTCTTTGAAAACGAAATTATTGCATAAAAATATATTCCAAGCGAAAATATGTTAATGTTGCGAAGAGTACATAGATATTTGAGAAAACGAATGAATACAGAAGGGCTGAAATTATGAAATATGTACATATATCAACTCACATTTCTTTCCTTCCCTCACCTCATACGAAGCAAAAATCAATATACACTTTGGCTCTACATCAATGGAAGCATCAATTTTGTCGCTTTTTCTCATTTAACATAGATAGATGTAAACGACAGATGAGAGAGTTTTTTGTTCATCATTTTTCTTATTTTTTAAAATGAATTGTATGCAACAAGCCGAACGACGTAGAATTTTTATCGTATGTTAAAGAACAAGAATGGAAAAGAACATACATGGACGTACATGTCTATATAGAGCCTTTTTTAATGTTACCTGATGAGGCATCTGGGCTGAAGCTTTACATCTGAAAAATAAAAAAATGAAATTCAGAAGAAATGCCCTTAATTCAAGATGAATCTCACTTGAAAATGGCGGCAGCAAATAGACGAAATTCGTTACTTAAAATATGCTCTCTTAAGTTTGGCCCATAGTAAGTAAAGAACTAAAACTTTTATCTCTTTATCACATCTTAATACTAAAAAGTAGCCTTCTTTTTCCTCCGGTAACAAAGATTTACAAAAACTTACCATTTCTTAATAAATGGAAATCTTTGCCATCGATTCTTTGATTTTTCTGTTAGGTATTCAAAATTCTTAGGAACCTAACTACCGTTGAGCGTAGGCAACTAATTCTGTCTGGATATTGTTTATTCTTCTCTTCATGTTCACGATTCAACTTCACTTTCGAATCAATGTCAAAGATCCCAGATAATCATAATAAAATGAATGCCACCTATGCTATTTTATATTTCTATTTTAATACAGACTGACCATTTCTAGGTAATATTTGGATGAATCTTAATTATGGCAAATGCTACTCAATACTGAAAAAGAATACTTATTTCGAACTTAATATATATCATTATAATTATATCATATATAATTATATATCATTATAATTATATCATATATAATTATATATCATATACGATAGCATATGAATGTATATGGATACCTTTTATAATAAACACCATAAACATGTATGAATTAGTTTCCATGTCAGTAAAATTCCCATATAATAGAAATTAAGTCGTTGCAAAAAAGGATACAAATTCTTTACATTTTATGATATCGCTTCATATATATTTTATAAATATTTTTTAAATTCTTTTTTGAGAATACATATATATACTTAAATATATACATTGAATAGTTCCTGAAAATGACGTATGTAAACATGTGAGCGCTTTTAGAAAAGGATAAGAACTGGAAAATTGTGTGTACAATAATGTGAATTCTATGTTTTATTTTCTGGATATCCTTTGGCTGAATTTATGTATACTCTTTACGTTTGAACGAGATAACCTTAAGTATACATCATTTCTGCCATTGGCGACATTTTCTTTGGGATATGAACAAGAGTATCAAAATAGCTTGCCAACTCATTTATAGTTATATCATCGCAGATAGCAGTTGCGCTATTGCCAGCAGCCTGTTGAGAACATGAATTGCCGTGACGAGCATTTGTCGAGATTTCTGGATCAGATGCAGTGCTTTTAGGCAACGGCTGATTAGTACAATTCTGTAGATGATCTCTTAATGAATTAGTTGTGCTCCAATTCCGATAACAGACATGCTTAGGACGTGATCGAGTATATATTCGGACAGATGATCTAATACGTGGCAACTTATTTGTTTTTACAGATGGTTGCATAGTAGTGAAATTCTTTGAAATGCGATTATCTAAGCTTTTTTGATTGCCGTCAGCGTCGTCATCTCCCGATATATTGCAGCATTCTGTAATTAGTTCGCCGAAATCCGATATACCAGATTTTAAAGCACCATTAGTATGTGAATTATGATGTTCAATGGATAGATTAGGTGAATTACCAGAAGAACCCGACGAGAAGTACCGTCGACGCGCCCGTCCTTGAGAATGAAAATGAAGAGCTTTAAGTACTGGTTCACGTAAAACAGTTCGGCGATATCCTGCTTGCGTTGTAATCGACTTTTTTGAAACCTGCACTCCTTTAGTGGCTTTTAATTCATCTAATACACTCTCCGAAGATCGTCGCAAGCGACATCCACATCCATTCAAAAGCGAGTAACGAAGAACAGATATCTCCACCATGTCAGACGCTGTCGGAGCGATTTTTAATTCACTACCCGAAAACGGGTTCATCCCTATTGGCGCATCCTTCGATAACTGAAATTGAGGCACAGATGTAATCTGTAGTTTATCTAATTCTTTTGGCAAATCTTCTTCTTCAGCGGCCATTGAATTGTGTTCGATTGTATATTGTGCTTTAGCAAAATGTTCGCACTCGGAAATTTTGTTTTTCCAAATTTCAATGTTCTTACTTGTAAACGGAAAAAATTCTTTTTTTTTTGGTATGTTGAATGGAAAAAATTCTTTTTCTGTAAATATTTCGACTAAATATTTGACAAAAAAATTTTCTTTACTTAATACGTTTAATGATTAGTTCCACAAATTTGTTCTTTCTATTGCAAGTTTATCGCTTTTCTTTTGTTTTGCTTTACTGTAATATTACAGAGTTGATTCCAGTTTGCTATTCCCACAAAAACTGCAGAAATCCGGACCTGAGCTTACCTTCGTTTTTTCAAATGTAAATTGAATAACATATAGAACATCTTACAAGCTGCAGATCGAATAAGAGTGCGGATGTGCATTTTATGTGATCACATCCATCAGGAATGTGAATTAAGTATATATGCAATAATTATCGCTAGCATTAAAAAAATGCAATCACGCAAGCTTGAATCCACATTAAAATACATAACTGCCATTAACATATGTTTTATATGTTGAGAGCAAAGCGCAGATCGTATCTACGGTCTTTACAATAATGGCTTTAAAATACATTGCAAACCAAAGTAGGCGGATTTTCTGCAGTTCATCTATCAGAAATTTTGATTCCTACATCGAAAATCCAGTTATAGAAGCTCTACTACCTAAAAAGGCAAAGTCTACTGCAAATGCGAAGGTATATATTAACTGGAAGTTTTCATATGATAAAGGACATGCATCTTCTTGTCCAATCTTTAATTTGTAGCCCTATCATTTCTCAGATTCAAAAGTTATACGTACGGTAGGTGGAAACGGAGGAGATGGCTCGATTTCTTTCTTACAATTATGGTGCAATGAAAGAGCTGGGCCAGATGGCGGAGACGGTGGAAATGGCGGTCACATCGTTTTTCAAGCTACAAAGGCCGTAAGGAGCTTAAATCATTTGCCATCAAATATGCGCGGTGATGAAGGGCAAAATGGGCGATCTAAAGAATGCCATGGTAGGAGTGGACAGCATATGATAGCTAAGGTGCCTGTAGGTACCATTGTCCGCACCCAGCGAGGGACAATTGTTGGTGATTTGGATAAAGAAAATATGATGTTTGTTGCTGCAAGGGGTGGCGCTGGCGGAAAAGGAAATCGCTTCTTTACAACAGATCAGGAAACCGCTCCAAAGATTTGTGAACATGGGCAAAAAGGGGAAGACCTAACCTACGTTTTAGAGCTCAGAAGTATGGCCGATATTGGCCTGATAGGATTTCCTAACGCTGGCAAAAGCACCCTTTTAAATGCAATAACTCGTGCTCGTCCAAAAATAGCGCCCTACGCTTTTACCACCTTACAACCTTACGTCGGCATGGTTCAATATTCTGATCATACGCAAATAGCGGTAGCGGACTTACCAGGCATAATATCCGATTCCCATCGGAACAGAGGCTTAGGCATACAGTTTCTCAAACATGTTGAACGTTGTTTAATTTTGATCTTTCTTTTGGACGCCAGCGCAGACTCTCCCTGGTTATATTACGAAAATCTTTTGTTTGAATTAGGCCAATTCAACAAAAAATTGTTGGAGTATCCCAAAATTGTAGTCGCTAATAAAATTGATAAAATGGAAGCGCGAAATAACCTCTTCGAATTAGAAAACAAAATTGATAGCCCCATTATAAAGATAAGCGCCAAGCACGGCACAAACTTAGATGAACTTTTAAAAGTTGTGCGTAAAGTCTATGATAGCTGCAAGCCAAGTGCAGAATGGTAATTTATAAATTTTATTTCAAAATAGTATCAATAAATAGACATTCTAGTAAGATTTAATTTATTGATTTTAAAGTCCTTCATCAGATACTGGTAACCAGAAAGCCATATTCGTACAAGCGGACGCCAATAGCATGTACTTTGGGTTAAACTGAACACATTGCACAGGGCCTGGGTGGTCTCCATTCAAAACACAGACTTTATAGCCAGTATCTGCATTCCAAACGTGGACACGGCCGTCGGTGCTGCCGGAAAATATAAACTGTGAATCGGGACTGAAGCTTGCCTCTATTGCGACGCCCTTATTATTTGGATAACCCGTAAATGTTTGCAAAGGTGTCCCATGAAAAGCATCTACCAAGCGTATAATAGAGCCATTTGTACTAATTAGTATAGTTTTTCCGTCACGTGAAAATTTCAGCCCAGTCCAATCACACTCTTTCTCCTGATTCAACTTGAAAGTTACAAATGGTCCTTTGTCAAAAGATCTCAAATCATACAATTTGATACTCTCCGAATTCACGCCAGCTGCAAAAATTAATCCCTCTGGGTCGTAAGCGGCTACTGGGCGACCAGATAAGTGCATAAGGCCCTGGCAGTTAGGCGAACGTAAATCCCATAGCCGCAAAGTTTTATCCAAAGAACCAGATAGAAATGTATCTTCGACAGGTGATATGCATAACGAAATCACTTTTTTTGTATGACCAGGAAAATATCGCAAATATTTGTTATCGTGAAGGCTTAAATACCTAATAGTATCATCTACTTTAGTTGAACTGTGAATGGCGGTGTTATTAGCATGAGTAAAATGTATAAGATCAACGCCATATTTCTTTGAATTAACGGTACGTGACTGTGTTCCTTTCTCACAATCGTAGATAACTATTTGATCGTCCTCACTGCAAGAAATTAAATGCTCACCGTTCGGAGAGAAATCAATAGCGTTTATTTTATCGGTATTTTCTCTGAATACTTTTGCAACTTTAAAGCTACGCACTACCGGATCGATTAGTTTCATTTTCATTATGAATGCTTCTCTATTTTTCCTGTGTTTCTAGCAAAATTGGACATTAAATTGAAAAACTTGAAACGATTTCTAACAAAATATTAGTGCAGTGTTAACAAAGTTGAGAGTTTCTATTAATTTAGGGATGAATGGTTACAAATTACTGACAACCAAAATTCACCTCAGTTTCAATCGATAATGAAATAAATGTTACGTTTCCATAAATAACCCAGAATTGCAATGCATTTTCCTGCACACAATTTAAGTGATAAAAAAGAAAACTAAAATATATTATTATGTTTAGGTGTACACTCATGCCAGCATAAATGGTTCATAAATTGATTGTTAAAATCTGATGTGTTTACAAGAAGGTATACAATGCCCCATACCCTAAGTTTTTTTATCAAAAATTTTTTAAATCATTTATGAAGAAAAATGTGATACTTGTCCTAATAAATGATACTTTATTTTATGGAATGGAAGTTTGTTATCTTTTGTCCAAATATAATTATAGTTTTTGCTGTCTTGACCATCTGTATTAATATTACTTCTAAGCAAAAAGAAGTCCCACGCTAACTGCATTCTTCATGATTTTTTGTGAATATCCCTCATGGTGTGTGAAATAAATCGAAACTTGATAATTTCTCATCAATTTGTATTAAATTTTCTTTGGTATTCTTCGATAGCTCTGGATTCTTTCACTATATACCTTTATTCTTCTTACCTTTAGTCTTTGCAAGCTCATGCTTGTCATACGCTCATTTGCTTTCATAATGGCTTCTTTAGAAACTGGTACTACTTTTTTTATAGACATAGATAACTTGGGTTTTGTTTTGTTTACTTCATTGTTTGTCCATGACTCAATTTCATCGACTTTTTAACTGATACAACGACAAGAAAAAAATTTTTTTACGGTTACAATTGTCCAATTGTATATATAATCCCCACCAACTACGATATGCCCACTTGATATTAATTTATTCCTAAAAAAGAGCATTAAGTTTCGAATGGCATCACTAGCAATGTGTGAGAGATTGTGGTGTATTTCATTGTGATTTTTTCTTTACGGGAAAATTGTGAAATCAAATATTGAAAAAACTTTAAAAGAGTGCTTAAATTATTTTAAAATCGAGAAAAAATTGAAGAATTTGCCGAAGAGGAAAGCATATATTTTTCAGACTGTGTTATTAAAGTTCATTTACGCATATGGAAAAATAAGCTAAATGGTAACCAAATTTATACTTTTCAAATAAATTAGATCTTAGTGGAACCCCAATTTTTTTATGTTGAGAAATGTATTAGGAAAGCACAAGTAGATTGGTAAGTAAAATATTGATAATCGTGAGAAAAAATATAGAAATTGTAAAATTTAAGATTTTTTCAGTTCGTAATTTTCCTTGACTTCGGTTGCAATCAATCGTTTTTTCGTTTGTGGCTTACGACATAGCATATGCGACCAAAAAAAAATATGAAATGCTATTTAATAAGTTTGTTATTGCATTTGTGCACCATTCTAATATATGCCTTTGCAGAACTGTTTAGATTGACCATAATTTGTATATATCTTTTTTTATCGTTTGTTGAAAGTCTGTTCTCATTTCGAATATCCCACCTTCATCTAATTACAATATTTGGAATACATCCAGGCTTCTATCTATATAAAATTATTCTTTAGCTTGCATATAAGCTCACCCTTGCTATATTGTTTTTTGTTGGTTTTTTATTGCCAGTTTTTTACGTCGCATGTGCGTGCTCTGGATTGCATTACGTTTGAAAGAAATATTGTGAAAATGTTAGTAAAATGGCTGAATGCCGTTATTACTGGTGAAATGTTTTATTGAGTTTACAGCTTTCATAGTCTATAGATGAGTGCCGTATAAATTGAAAATTTTTTTTTTTATTGCAAAATTTTGCGCAAATGTCTCAAAGATTCGAATATATTTTGGCTACCTATCCAGAAGAGTTTAGATTTTATAGGATTTCGAAAGATTTTCCATAAATCATTAAAAAAATAAGCGGATGAAAGAGATACGAATTAAAGCATCTTAAAAAAGTTTATGATCAAATTTTTGTCAAATATTTGTAACAAAGAAATATGCATAAAACTTGTTACATACATGCATATATTTTCTTGAGTCGTCACGATTGTGGACTTCAAACTTTGCTTCAAACATCTCTGCACATGCGGTCGTAATATTTGAAAGGAAAATAGTTATCAACATATAAAAACACTACGTATCCTCCACCACCCTACAATTATTAATGTAACAAAATAAGGCTTTATATGGGGAGTGGGTCCGATTCGGCCTATTTATGATAGCATTCGTTCTCGGGCCAGCACGCTTCAGTGAAACGAAATTCATCGAAACATTTCAAAAATTGCGGCCTGTTACTTGAAGACAAAAAAAGACTGATCGGCACGCTTAAATCAATTCAGAAAGTGATTCTGCATCGATCGGTATGTCTTAAATCCTTAATTCCGCACCAACTTAATGTACCCATGTTCAAGAAGTAATGTTCACTATAAGATGTTAGTTTCCCGAAAATATCGTTTAGAATCGTTCTTAGATCAAAGCACTTATAGAAAGGATTTTCCTTGGATTTATTACTAAATTCCCGTTGATTAGATTTTTATTTCTATCCTATTAAGTCCTTTTTGTAATTTATTATTTTATTATCATTCTCTATTTCTGTTATTGTGACTAACAAGTAACACATAAAGGTCTTGTCTGGAAAAACAAACTATTTTCGAAATTTCTCCTTTTTCGATCATTTCGTCGTCGTTCTTTCATTCCTTTTTTTCTGCTTTTAAATGCAAAAATTATTTACTTTTGGGGATATTTCTTTAATTTTTTATTCTCTTGCTTCATATTGCCTCTGTTGTAAAGAGTGAAAAGGAGAACAAAGCATTCTTGTCAATCGGCGAAAATACACAACAAAATTCCCTAAAGAAATAGATTTGCTTTGTTTTACATATCTATACATATATGATTATCCCGATACATACATGTGGGATAAGACGATTATAATCTTTTCCTTCATTTCAAACACTTTCTTGATTAGACTTTATATTTTTTATATATAAGACAATAAAAGATGTAATACCCATTTATGTATAATAATTCTTCATTTGTTTCAGATTTTTACATACATTCTTAGTTCAATTTGAAGACAAAGTTCTTTTTGAAGTCAACTTAAAGGGCGCAACTTAATCAAAAAGGTATGTTTTCTATTATGGAAAAAAAGTCTGGTACGCACCTATCAACTGCTATAAATGTGTGCCTGTGAAATATTATTATTAAGGCTCAAATAATGTTTATATCACATGCTATACGGAATTTCATCGTAACATCATACAAACATTGTTCGATGTTCACTTAAGTTGGCGGAAATTCAAGATGTACTTCAAGGCACTTAAACATAAATTACGCGCTTACTAATCATGGATTGATCATTAGTCACGTTTTTCTACAAAATCAACAAAGATTGGAAAATTATTTGATATGTTCATTGGACGTTTAAGAAAATTAATAATGTTCACATTTTTGAGTTTACTTTTTTTTATTTATTGTGAACTAGCTTTTACATAGACAATACGAATTGTCGAACTATGGAAATCATATAAGGGTATATATGTCAAATCTGAGGTGTATTTGTTATAATAGTACACTAAATGACTGATGGGATTTGTCAACGCACAGATGTTATCATCGGGGCGTCCAATAAATCGGTCTTGCTTTGTTTACATATTTCGTTATCCTTGTCACTAAATTATATTGACATCTGCGTAGTGTTCTTATTTTACAAATTCATTGCCGACTCTAAAAATTAAGAACATTTTTTGTGTATAATAAAAGATAAAAAATTAAAGAGTTTTAGCTTATAATTCAAAATTTTCAATTTTTTTTTTTTAAAAAAGCTTTCACTTTCAACAAAATTGTATTTCGAATTGACATTTATCAGTTCTCCGATCAATTGCAGATGGGGGACGTGGATCCAGAGACACTCTTAGAATGGCTGTCTATGGGCCAGGGAGATGAGCGCGATATGCAATTGATTGCATTGGAACAGCTCTGTATGCTTTTGTTGATGTCAGATAATGTGGACCGATGTTTTGAAAGGTGATATTAATTCTGGATTTCGTATGCCTTTTTCACTTTACGAATAATTTTTTTACGTTTCGCAGTTGCCCACCGCGCACTTTCTTACCGGCTTTGTGCAAAATATTTTTGGATGAATTGGCACCGGAGAATGTACTGGAAGTAACTGCCCGTGCTATTACCTATTATTTAGACGTGTCGGCCGAGTGTACACGACGCATCGTTGCTATTGACGGTGCGATCAAGGCAATTTGCAATCGTCTAGTTGTCGCCGATTTGTCCTCGCGTACTTCACGCGATCTGGCAGAACAATGCATTAAAGTATTGGAATTGATATGTACACGCGAAGCAGGCGCTGTTTTTGAAGGTGGTGGTCTTAATTGCGTTTTGTCATTTATACGAGATTGCGGATCACAAGTTCACAAGGACACTTTGCATTCTGCCATGTCTGTAGTGTCTCGCCTCTGTACAAAAGTTGAGCCAAATTCTCCTTGCATTCAAAATTGTGTAGAAAGTCTAAGCACTTTGCTACAACATGAAGACCCCATGGTCGCTGATGGTGCTCTCAAGTGTTTTGCATCAGTGGCCGATCGTTTTACTCGTAAGTGGGTGGATCCAGCACCGCTTGCTGAGTATGGTTTAGTAAATGAGTTGTTGAAACGGTTGAGCAATGCTGCTGGACCCAACTCTGCCCCAACAGCAGGTGGTACGACGCCAACTGCAGGTGGCCCCTCTACTTCTGGTTTGCAAAACGAAAACTTGACTGCCAACGTGCCCAATACAATTCAGAAAAATCAATCGGCAGAGCCTAATCGTTCTTCACAATCCATATCGACGACAATATCATTACTGTCCACATTATGTCGTGGCTCACCATCCATTACTCACGATGTCCTGCGTTCTCAATTGCCGGACGCTATCGAACGTGCTCTTAAAGGCGATGAACGCTGCGTGCTAGATTGTATGCGGTTGGCAGATTTATTATTACTTTTATTGTTTGAGGGTCGGCAGGCATTGAATCGGGTAGGAAATGCAGGAGGGCAAGGGCAATTAGTTTCACGAACTCGTCGCAGTGATTCAACTGTGGAACGCACTCATCGGCAGCTAATCGACTGTATACGTTCAAAAGATACAGAAGCCCTTCAAGAGGCTATAGAATCTGGCGGTATTGATGTAAATTGTATGGATGATGTTGGTCAAACGCTGCTTAACTGGGCTTCGGCCTTTGGTACGTTGGAAATGGTCGAGTATTTGTGCGAGAAGGGTGCCGATGTTAATAAGGGTCAACGAAGCTCTTCACTTCATTATGCAGCTTGTTTTGGTCGGCCAGGAATTGCAAAAGTTCTTCTCAAATACGGCGCTTACCCCGATTTGCGTGATGAGGACGGTAAAACGCCCCTGGATAAAGCTCGCGAACGTTCTGACAATGGACACCGTGAGGTAGCTTCTATACTACAATCGCCGGGCGAATGGATGGCTGCCGGTCACGGATTAGGTAACAAGGATGGCAGTGACGAAAATTCGAGCAAAGAACCACGTGGGGACCCCGAAATGGCTCCTATCTACTTAAAATTATGTTTACCAATGTTCTGCCGCACTTTTCAAGGCACCATGTTAAGCAGTGTACGAAGAGCCAGTTTGGGATTAATCAAGAAGATGGTTCAATATGCTCAACCAACAGTCCTAAGAGGTCTTTGTGAACCGCAACACTTGGAAAGCAGCGCTTCGACTTTCCCTACTGGGAATACTGCAAACAATTTGGGAACATTGCTGGTTGAAGTTGTAGCTAGCGTGCTTGATAATGAGGTAAGTACCACAAACCCTCCAATTTAATTCACATATACGCAAAAGAATGTAAGGCGGAAAATCAAAAACATTGAATTAATCGATATTTTTTCACATTTATTTTATAATCATATCCTTAAAAAAAAAAAAATGTTGATGACATTCACAATAGATCAGCTATAGTTGGCCACCTTTCAGAGCGAATGATAACGGCTTGTTGATGTCCTTCTGCGCAAAACCAGCACGAGCGGATCCTCGTTTCATTCTGCCAATGGAATCAAAATCGTATAATGGGGTAACCGATCTTTCCTTTGGGTTGCTTGAGTGTCTGACACCTTTTATCATATTCTAACCTTCATTTTTGTCGCTTTCCACTCCACCTTCATTCGATCATTATCAATGAATTGAAAAAGTTTTTTTGAGTTTCCAAAAAATGAATTTTTGAATGAAGTTATTGGAAAATTCCCTTAAAGACGTCCAGCGTCTTAAATTTTATTTTGTTTGGTATAAAAAAGTGACTAATATTATCTTTTGTGACTATCCTAATTTTGCAATAATAGTAAATTTGAGTTTTTAGTGAAAAATATACATTTCTGCCCAAAATCTAAATTTAGGCGACTTGATGTATGGAAATCAGAGCATTTGTATAATTAATATTCCCGACGGCAAATCATGTATATCTTCAGACAAACTCGAAGCAGTCATTTAGAACACATCGAATTTAACATAAGGCTGCTAGCAAAACAAGCAAAACACTTGCGAAATAAAGTACGGATTAAAGGCATTTATTTAGGTTAAGGTGTATCTTATAACTCTTAGAAACAGTATTAAAACACGAAGAGTTAAGTATTTATTACATTATATGGCCCAAAGGTTGCATTGTATCTATGGACTAATCCGTAGCGACATTTAATTATCAAGGTGCTCAACACCTTGCATACCAGATACCAGTGAAAAATCTCTATTTGTTTCACCATTCTCCTCACTTATAAGAATATATTGAGTGTGAGCGTGCGCTACCTAGCATGCATTGAGAGAGATCCATTTCTTATTAAAATTATTACTATGTTCCTATCATGGTTTTCTTTCATATATTTTTGCGTTAGTCTATGTCGAATTAATTCTACGAACAAGTTTCTACACTAGTCCGCCAGCCATACTTTAAAATACGAAAAAATCATTGCATAGCAATTGATTATGGACAATTTCGATGAGATGGAATCATAATAAAATACCTTTATTAGCGCAAAATAGTTACGATGACATACAGTGACAATGACTGTTGTAAGTTTGAACGAAGAAATGCATCAGGCGAAAAGTATGTAAAACACTAGCCATGCTTGACTTTTGACGTTTTATCCTGTTGGATATTTGTTATTCACCCGATTCATTCAATTTTCAATGCGGTTTTGTGTGCATAAACGTAGTATTTTTATTGTTTGTGCTACTCTTAGTTTAGTTTATTAAAGAATTAAGAAAAGGGGCGGACAACAACATAAGATTGTCAATCCCTTAAAAGAATGCCTTAATTAGTTTTGATAGGTGAAAAGACAGAGCAGTAAGCTCTTGCTATAAATAAAGCTAATTGTATCCAAATGAATAGTTTTGTTGATTAAGAAGTATGTTGACCGCTTACTAGACACCATCCAAAGTAGATAAATTATAAGTTCGTCGTTAAGACGAACATTAGATTCCCAAAATTGTGATTTTGAGTTTTATTGCTTGGAAATAAACGGGTGTTAAAGCTTTGATTGTTGTATTAATTTCTTATTAAAAAAATGGAATGTGTTTTTGATTTTCCCTTGACTTGAATTCTCTAAGAGCATATAATAAAATTTAATTTCCTGTCTAACTCATTAACTTTTTGCAGGACGACGATGATGGTCACTTAGTTGTACTTACTGTAATCGAAGAGCTTATGAGTAAAACTCAAGATGAATTTCTCGATCATTTCGCTAGATTAGGAGTGTTCTCCAAAGTGCATGCTTTAATAGAACCCGAAATTGAGAGCGATGCAATTCCGGCCACTAATAATACAATAACAGCGACGCCTGATGAACAGAATGTGGTGGCTACTAATGTACAACAACAACAACAACAACAGCAGCAGCAGCAGCAGCAACAATCACAGCCAGGTATAAGATTCAATTTGCGTTTATTTTATTTTGCGTAAATATCTTATAATGCATATTAAGGGGAAGATGCTATAGAAGATGCTAAAGAAATACTTCAAGGAAAAGCCTATCATTGGCATGAGTGGAGTGTCTGCCGTGGTCGTGATTGTTTATATGTTTGGTCAGATTTTGCCGCCTTGGAATTATCGAATGGATCTAATGGATGGTTTCGTTTCATACTCGACGGTAAATTGGCCACCATGTACTCAAGTGGCAGCCCAGAGAATGGCAATGACAGTTCTGGTAAGTAGTTTTACTCATACTTAACTTCAAAAATATGCGTTTTTCTTTTTCTTATATAAACATTACAATAATATTTAGACGTTTCACACATTCATTCAAAATTCAGTTTAATTAGAATTATACCACATATTAAATGTAAATACGGCTTCTCTGTATATTGTTGCGAAGATCAACAAGATCTCTTTCTCGTTTCTCCTTGAACTTTGAAAACTCAACTCTAATTTTTTTTTGATTAATTCATTAATATGTGTGTATGTGGATTTTACTATATTTTACTTTTATAACTAAATTAGTATTTCCGTAATGTAAGTTAAATTGTAATGTTTTTTTTTTTTTTTTTTTTTTTTTTTTTCGTTTTATTTTAATATTCTAGTTTCGGGTTATTTTGGGCTTTGTTTCATTCTATTCGGTTTTCTGTTGTCGTTGTCGTTGTTGTTGTTGTTACTGTATTTGTTGTTACTTTCTAATGATTTCTTTTTGATTGATTTTAATTTGACCAAAAAAAAAAAACTTTACGAAACCTATCTTTATGTCTTAGGGAGGGGACGTGGCATGGATTCGTCAAATAGTGAAGGTGAGAATATTAAATTTGGTTAATTTTTTTCTTTGTAACGTAATGTGTGTTTTTTTGTCTTTTATTTATATATATATATTTTTGTTTTTTTTAACTTTATTTAACATCCATCGTTTGCGTTTATATCTAATGAAAGTAACAGAATAACATTTCCAAATTTTCGTTTTACTAATTTTCGGGAACTTGATTAAAAAACAAACTAAATTATATGTTGTACATTTATCTAAAGCGTAGGCTGTGCAGGCTTTTTATTTCTAAATCTGGATGGGTTAATCGATATATGTACGCGTAAGTTCATCATCAAGCAAACGCAAATTATTAAATTTACTCAGGTATATAAAGTTAAATACTCATCTGGAATTATTACTACATTGCAAAACTAATTAGCACGACCCAAAGCGGTTAGAGGTAGTTGTAGTAAAATGCGAGGAAAGCGTTTACTACCATTCTTTCAAATAAACTTTGTGCAGAATGGCAACAATTAATGATTTCCAAAATCCTCTTTATTAAAAATGTTTACTTGAGGTACAAGGGCAATACATGCAATTTCCAGGAGAAATTTTAATATACCGACAGATTCAGAATGACTTTCTGATTCTATTTAAGTGTGTCTATCCTTCTGTGGCAGTCTATGTTGTTTTCCTGGGTTCAAACTTCAGGCCGCAAATTTCCGAGATATATATTAATGAAATTTGTTACACTCACTTGTTTTGTGACCCCAAGGGCGAATTCTACTAAAAATGAATCTTCGAACACTTCCAATATAATAGTTTATTTTGAAACGTCACTATATGAATAACCGTATTAGGCGAAGTGGCAAGTGGGGTAATTAAGGATGGGCTGCGGCCCGCTATATTGTACTTACTTGTTTTAAGGCTATGAAATTGCTGTGCATCCAAAGTCCATCGTTCCAGCATTTTCTACAGCCTAAGTAAGTAATACCTTGTAAGTGAGAGGAGAAGATGTAACCAAAAGGATAGGAAGGTTTTATGTCAATTAATATGTAACTATTAAATGTCAACATATACTTCCAAGGAAAAATGGGACTTAGAAGGGACAAGATAGATCGCTATTTAGCGTAAAGGGAATTTTTTAGAGAACGGGTTTAAAGTAAAGCAGCAGACAACAGCGATTAAAGCACTTACGCAGTACGTTCCATAAAAATAAATCTTAATCTAAAGTCAATACATAGTTTCCTCCTTCCTTCCAAACTCGTTTTAATCATTATTGCTTTGTCGGTTATCAATGAACATGAGATATTAGTGCATCAACGACCGTAGACACATTTATAAATTTCTTTACGAAATAAAATGAATAAAAGTATAAAATAAGAAGAAAATATGTACAAGAAAGATAAAAGTATAAGAAAGTATAAAAAGATAAAAGTAAAGGAAAAATATAAAAAATAAAAAACTTATTAAAAAGTAAAAAAAAAAAAACAAAATTAAAAAAAAAAAAATCATCAAAATAAGTCTATCGCTGCTTTGCCATTACACTATAATCTAATCATACTGTTGGCTGGAAATAACTACAACGACTTCTACAAATGAAAGAATTGCGTAAGGAGAAGGAATAGTCCGATTTAAATTAAATATATGGACAAATATTAGACGTCGCAGAAATCATTTCATACTGATTCCGCATGATGGAGAGTGAGTCGTCTGGATGTTACATGCATTTGCACAAACAAAATGCCATATGTCAAAAGTGGTGTAAGATATAATGATATAATTTCGTGTTTACACACGTATAAATTAGTAGACAGTCGGCCATTATGTTGTTTGACATTTATTTTCTAGATTATGCAAAGTGCATATGTCTTTCTTCTGTTTTGCTCTTCTTGTACGACTTAATAATAATTATCTATTAAGTTCTAGAACATGTTCAGATTATATATCAGTCGATTAAGAATTAACTCGGTCTTCTGTTACCCATGCATTTTTATATTCAACCGGCAGACCGTAATTTTTGAGACATTTTAAACGAATTTGTTTCGCTGATTGATTTTTGTTTTAGAATGAATTGTTTAGCTATGAAAAATAATTAGATCGGGTAAATTTTACGAGCACTTTTCGTGTAATGCCGTGCCATGAAAAAAGTCGTTACATGAAAAAAATTACCATTTTTAATAATTCTTAGCGATAAACTGTAAAAAATTACAATTTCAGTGTAATGGAATGGACGGGACTAATTTTTTAATATGCATTTTTTAATGAAAATACTTAGAAACGATTATCGATAACGTTTATATAACAACAACAAAGTCTAATTTTTGATATTCCATAAAAAGAAAAAACACTTGACATACAAATGCAAAAAATATGCCAGGTGTGGACTGTATTGGCTTAATTTATGGACGACATCCTCTCCTAAAAGGGTTCTCATGAAAAGTAAGTCAGTCTTCACGTGGCAAGAAGGAGTAATTTTTGACAGAAAAGTAACTATATTGAATTAAGATCACAAAAGTCCACGTCTAAAATGGGTTCATACGTATGAAAGATGAATGTTTTATAATTTATGCTTGATGATGGATATTAAAATTTATATCAAACATCCTTTTCATTTCATTTATCAAAATGATTTGCGATATATTAACTAAATCTTGTAAAGTTTATTAATAATATTAATTAGATAATTAGCTAAGCATGTCTAACAAATTGTTATTTATAATATTAATCCACTAGTAACATGATGCCATTTACAATTTATGAATTCGATAACGATGAACTATCCCTTTCCAAACTTAATCCAATTAATTTGAACGAAGATACTCTACACTCATATCGAACTATATTTGATTTGCGAGAAATCATTTATTTTAGCTATGCTTTCTCGAAAACGTTAACTTATCTTAATCTCAGATAATAAAACTTTAAAATAAAGAAGCAAAACAAGCAGACTGTAATCAGAACACTCAACTCTGTGTCACACTTTAAACGCTTAATAGAGTAGAAGAACATTTTAATAAACATTTGATTTCACAACATACATACATATATGTTTTGGACCTAACACTTTCCTTCCATCTAACTGCTTTCTCCTTTGTTTTGGGTTGTAAAGGAAATTTCTTTAGAAACTATATCAGATGTTCGCTGTAGCAGCAGTACATGATAACATCCGATTCTGGTTGTTTATGATTTATCCACAAATTATTGTCATTAGCTTTTTTTCCAAAAGTGATCAGTTAAACTGAGAAAAAATTTGTAGAATGCGTTGAAAAGCAACCAAATATATATATTCGGCTTTGGCCGGAATCGTTTTGTACGTGAGCTCGAAGCCTCAACAAATTTAACAAAGTACTTATTTGTACCGTTAAATATGTAGCAAAGTGAAATCCTACGTGCGACTTAAGGCACTTTTGTACCTGTTATGCATCAAAGACAAAATGCCGGGATGCTCAGTTCTTCACAATCGACCATAGTTTCGAATGTCATCAAAAAGCCAAAGTGTTGTCATAGCATTGTCTGCAGTCGTTGCACTTTTGGCACGGCAGCGTTTTCAAGGTTACACATCTATTCTTTCTCAAGATTTTCCGAGATAATTACTATAGTACGAAATAGTTTAATGGAAACGCTTAACGCTAATTAAGAGAAGTTAAAACGTTTCAGTCTTGGAACATCGACAACGAAATTTGCTGAAAACTTCCGCACAAAATACCAAAAAAGAAAAGCGAAACCGTTGGACAAAGCCGAACATTAAATATTCTACGTAGCACTTCTCCTAGCACTATTCTCCAGCTATCTTGATCTTAAAAGTTAAAACTTGTGACCATAATACACTCTTATCTTTCACTAGAGGACACTAGTTGTCTATTAGTGTAGTAAAATAAATAGATACACTGGAAATTGCATAATATTGCTAAAGAAAACCTTCCTTTTGCGAGACTATGTGCCAGCATGCGAAGTGTTCATAGAATTGGCCCGATCCAAAATATACTGCTTGGGTTCAGCTTGCGTGTCAAAGCGTGGTCAGCTGACTAGACTATCAAATTATTTCGAAAGCGGCAATCTATAGCTTGAACATATAGGCCGAGATTAGATAGACAGATAGAGGAACAGTCTTATGTAAGTTCAGAAAATTATTTTGAATCGTTTTTGTTTCGTCGGTATAATCAAAAGGTTTGCCTATCTCAAGTTATTCTGGTCATTTAATATGTCCGTACAAATTTAACATACGCCTATAAGTATAGTATAAGATAAATCAATAAATAAGAAAAGAGTTTTTTATTACTTTTAGAAATTCTAAATGGAACTTTTAGTTATTGATATCCATCCCTTGCTTTACGAATGGCGCTGAACTAAGATTTCTCATGTAAACTAAGATTGTCATGCATTGTGACTAGGGTGCTAAGTTTCCATTTCAATTTTTATTTGCATTGTTTAAAAAGGATGTCACTCAGGTGACTTTCTTTTAAATTGCGAAAAATTCTTAGGGAAATCTAACGCAAACTAAAATTGATTAAGTAACGTTTTATATATTCTTGAATGAAATTCATATATAAATTCAAAATTTAATATCCTATCGTTGCCTAAAATTGTCAGCATTTGTTCTCTCATTCATGCATTTGAGTATTTAGAACTTTACAAGCATACTTTTAGAAATGATTTAGAATATAATAAAAATTGCTATATATATTCCGTTACGATTTTGCATATCGATCATTTGATTATTTTTAAAACTGCAGAAGCAAAGAAATAAATTCTTTTCGAAATATTATTATTTTTTTTTTTTTGATTTCACGAATTAAATTATCAAAATATGCAGTTAATTTAAATCCATTTGTAGAAAACCGCGGTGAATTTCTGGAGAAATTGCTTCGCGCACGTTCCGCCGTCCGAACTGGCATGCCTTCTCAGCCGATCTTGCCCTCTGTTAGTGTTTTGCGCCTAGTGGTAGGAAATTGGGTATTACAGTCACAGAAACCCAATCAATTGCAAGTGCACAATACTGAAGGACACCAGGTAACCATTTTGCAGGACGATTTGCCTGGTTTCATATTCGAAAGCAATCGAGGCACGAAACATACTTTCACGGCGGAGACTACATTAGGTCCCGATTTTGCTACTGGTTGGTCAACGAATAAGAAAAAGAAAATTAAAACCAAAACAGAAGTTCAAAAAACGCAAGTTAAAAACATGGCCCGAGACATCTATAATAAGTATTTCAAGGCTGCCCAAGCGATACCTCGGGGTGCCGTAGCCAAATTGACAAACATTGTAAAGAGAATTGAAATAGCTTTGGAGGAGCAACGGATGCCCGGTCAAACCAAGTGGCAGCATAAACTATGTGAGGCTTTGAATGATTTATCACAATTATTGCAGGAAGATGGTGTTGTAAGCGCTTACGAGATGCATTCATCGGGATTGGTGCAGGCTTTAGTTGCGGTACTCTCAAAGAATTACTGGGATAACGGCTTGTCGCGCAGCAAAATGAATAAAATGCAAAAGCAACGAGTTGCCATTTTCAAGCAATGCATTCTCAATAACGAGGATTCAACAAAAGGCAATAATACAGCCTCCATATTAGTCCAAAAATTAGTAGCAGTTCTTGAAAGTACTGAAAAGTTGCCCGTGTATTTATATGATGCACCGGGATCGGGTTATGGTCTGCAGATACTCACTAAACGCTTACGTTTTCGTTTAGAGCGAGCAGCTTGTGAGACAACTCTTTTTGATCGCACTGGCCGAAATTTGAAAATGGAGCCGCTAGCAACTGTGGGTCAATTGGCCAAATATTTGTTAAAAATGGTAGCTAAGCAGTGGTACGATATGGATCGAGGGACTTTCTTATATTTGAAGAAATTAAAGGAACACAAACAGGGTATGGTCTTCAAGCACCATTACGATTTCGATGAGGAAGGTCTCATCTATTACATCGGTTCAAATGGGAAGACATGCGAATGGGTCAACCCAGCTCAATACGGGTTAGTGCAAGTAACAAGTTCTGAAGGGAAAACATTACCTTACGGTAAATTGGAAGATATCCTATCGAGAGATAGTATTTCTGTCAATTGTCACACGAAGGATAATAAAAAAGCTTGGTTTGCTATAGATCTTGGCGTTTATATAATTCCCAATGCTTACACTCTCCGACACGCTCGCGGTTATGGTCGTTCCGCGTTGCGTAATTGGATGTTACAAGGGTCCAAAGATGGCGTGAATTGGATCACCCTGGTCACTCATACGGACGACAAAAGTCTTGTTGAACCAGGCAGCACTTCAACTTGGCCTATAGTGTGCGCACCGGATGAGAATCAAGGTTTTCGTCACGTTCGCGTACAACAAAATGGTCGGAATGCTTCTGGTCAGACACATTATCTCAGTTTAAGCGGTTTTGAGATATATGGACGAGTAGTAAGTGTATGCGAAGACATCGGCAAGGGAGCTAAAGAAGCCGAAGCTAAAATGCGGCGTGAACGTCGTCAAATTAGAGCTCAACTAAAACATATTACAACTGGAGCTCGTGTAGTGAGAGGTGTAGATTGGCGCTGGGACGACCAAGATGGATGCTGTGAAGGCACCGTCACTGGTGAAATACATAATGGTTGGATTGACGTTAAATGGGATCATGGCGTTAGAAATTCGTATCGCATGGGCGCTGAGGGCAAATATGATCTAAAGCTAGCGAATAGTGAAAATCTATCCATGTTTGAAGGTGGTACATCGGTAGCGCCATCAACTGTAAATACAGGGAAAAAATTTGACAAAGGAATCTCACTGAACTCACGAAAATCCAGCTCTACTCCTTCTCTACCGGAAGCCACAGAAATTAATAGAAATTCTGAGGGTCCACCGGACCAAGCAGCATCTGCCGACAATTTAGCTTGGAAGCAAACTGTTGAAGTTATCACTGAAGACGTTTTCTCTTCAGCAAAATCGCAGATGCTGGCTGCGGGTTCAGGTGCCGGAAGTGGTGGAGATGAAAATCAGTTGGTGCCGTGCAAAGGTACGGCCTCTGGACCGAATGTGGGCATATCGACAGCTCCTACTTCAACACTACTGCGAGAGCGCGATAATATAACCGACTTATCAACTATAAACAATTCTATGCAAGCTATTAATGCGAATGTAGCATCCGATCTCGCGACAATAACAGAGAATTTGGCATTGAACGATAATCAGCCCGGCGAGTTGGGAAACAATACGAATACTGGCAATAAAAATAATTTGGCTTCTATATTTGCTTCAAGCTCCTCCTCGGGAACATCATGTGAAGTCAATAATAAGATGAATGCAAATAATTCGGCGGGGCCTGGTTTAAGTAAGAATCTATTGGTAAATCTTCGATCAAGTAGCTCAGCCAGTCAACGCGTATCGCAATTTTCATCCGAAGCTCTTGAAATGATTGATAAAATGCGCGAAGGCGTTGACATGTTACGAAATAACACGAATAATATATTATCATCTGACATTTTGTCGTTACCTGCAGCCAATTTGTTGTCACAAACCGGGATAAAGTCAGCAGCAAGAGTGGATGCAGGCGAGATTACATCTAATGTTGAATGCTCTCCGAATGTGCACATCAATACAAATATGACAAATAATGTCGACACAGTTTTGCAAAGCGAATCTTGCGGCGACGATCCTAAATTACTTGCTGTATCTTATGGCGATCAGTCTAGCAGCGTTAATGTATCGATTAATGGTCAGCAATCATCACAAAATGTTCAAAACGCAGACGTAAATGAAGCAGTAGTTTCCGTTTCGGTATCGAATCAAATGAGTGTCAGTGTACCAAACTTAACTACCACATCGGTGTCAGAAGCTCAATCCCAGTCAGAAACTTCGGCACATACTGGACTTTTAGAAACGTTCGCGGCTATGGCTAGACGACGAACTTCACAAGGCACAAACTTGCAAAATAATCAAATGATAAATTCATCAAATTCTAACTCGAACGAGCGCAATAATCAAAATTCAAGTGGAGCTAACTCGTTCTTTCCGCGAGGACCTAATTCTGTTACAAGCTTAGTTAAGCTAGCCCTTTCATCAAATTTTCATTCGGGTTTATTAAGTACGGCTCAAAGTTATCCCAGTTTATCGTCAAACAATGCAGCTAATACCGCAAACACAAACATAAGTTCTGGCACTGGTAATGCATCGAATGGTCAACAGACGCAAGCGTCCATAAATCCGGCACTAACAATGAGTCTCACTTCGACTTCAAGTGATAGTGAACAGGTGTCATTGGAAGATTTTTTGGAAAGTTGCCGAGCACCCGCTTTGCTAGGAGATATGGATGATGATGACGAAATGGAAGAAGATAATGACGACGAAGAGAACGAAGACGAGTATGAGGAAGTCGGTAATACGTTGTTGCAAGTAATGGTGTCGAGAAACTTGTTAACATTTATGGATGATGAAACCTTGGAAAATCGTTTAGCTGGCGTCGCGAAACGTAAATCTTGGGATGATGAGTTCGTATTGAAGAGGCAGTTTTCAGCTTTAATACCAGCCTTCGATCCTAGACCAGGTCGAACCAATGTAAACCAGACCTCCGATTTGGAGATACCCGCACCAGGGACTAGCTCCGATTCGGTAAAATCAAATGAACAAGAGCCCATGCAACAACCCGTTTTAGCTTTATCCTTGCGAGGGCCGAGTATAGGAGGAGTTGCCGACGTCCAAATAGAATTAGTTAACAACGATTGGACTATCTTTAGAGCAGTGCAGGAATTGTTACAAGCTTCACAGCTTAGTAAAGCAGACAAGTTTCGTAAAACTTGGGAACCCACCTACACTATTGTTTACAGAGAAATTCAACCCAACATCATGCACGAAGGAATAGAAACTGATGAGGGACCAAACACGCCGGTTGTTTCCTCAAAGAGCGGCGCTTCGACTTTGTCACCAAATTCGCCAATTCGTGGTGATTTTATTACGTCTGAGAATGTCAACTGTTCCGTAGAAGATGTCCTACAGTTGCTGAATCAGGTGAACACGCTTAATCAGGCTGCCTATGATGCAGTTGATATTAATGACAGCACTAGTAATTATCTTCCGTCAGAACTCTTTATGAGCAAAAAAATTACAAATAAATTGCAGCAACAAATTCAAGATCCTCTAGTATTGTCGAGTAATTCTTTACCTACCTGGTGTGAGGATCTCAATCAATCTTGTCCCTTCTTGTTCCCTTTTGAAACGCGACAACTATATTTCAATTGCACAGCGTTTGGGGCCTCTCGTAGTATTGTTTGTCTTCAGTCGCAGCGAGACGTAACTTTGGAGCGTCAACGGATGCCGGGTTTGAGCCCACGCCGCGATGATCAGCATGAATTCAGAGTAGGTCGTCTTAAGCATGAACGCGTTAAAGTTCCACGCAATGAAAACTTATTAGAATGGGCAATGCAGGTGATGAAGGTGCATTGTAATCGCAAGTCTGTTCTCGAAGTGGAATTTTTAGGTGAAGAGGGTACCGGCTTGGGACCGACCTTAGAATTTTACGCACTAGTAAGCATTGCATAACAGCTTTTTTGTTTCTGAATTTCTATATATGCATGAAATTTACGCTTTTCCCCCTTACAGGTAGCAGCGGAACTTCAACGTTCCGATTTATGTATGTGGTTGTGTGATGATGAACACATGCAAAATGAACTTTACGAAAATGAGGAACATACATTAAATAAGGACGATGCGAAACCAATCGGTTATTATGTGAATCGTCGCGAAAGTGGACTTTTCCCAGCGCCACTGCCACAGGACTCGGAAGTTTCCGATCGGGCTTCTAAGTATTTTTGGTTTTTAGGCGTTTTCATCGCAAAAGTTTTACAAGATATGCGTCTGGTGGACTTGCCGCTTTCGGACTCTTTCCTGCAATTGTTATGCCACAATAAAATGCTTTCCTCATCGATCGGTCAATTGCGAGCAAAAACAGTCGGTTCGGATGATCTGATGGCTTCGTCGATAATATCGGAAGATTCAGAATTAGCCGATTCTTGCTCAAAGTTATTAGGACGCCCTGACATTAAGTGGTACGATGGTATATTGTCATATGAAAACTTAGCCGAAATTGATCCTATACGTTATGAGTTCATTAAGGAATTGCAAGACTTGTTGAGCCGCAAACAAGCTCTTGAAACTGATATGAATATTTCGAATGAGAAACGGCAGGTTGCGATTGATGATCTTAAACTTCAAATTAAGAACGGAGCCGAAGTTAAACTTGAAGATCTAGCCCTAACATTTATCTATTTGCCGAGTTCATCCATTTATGGATACGAATATGCTGAATTAATACCGAACGGCGTAAACATTGACGTTACTATTGACAATCTTGAAGAATATTGTGAGGCGTTAATTAACTTCTCTCTGCAAGATGGCCTTGCAAAGCAATTGGATGCATTTCATCGGGGCTTTTGTGAAGTGTTCCCACTAAAAAAGTTAGCTGCGTTTAGCCCGACTGAAGCTCGTATGATGATTTGTGGTGAGCAGCATCCACAATGGACTCGAGAAGATCTCATTAATTATACTGAACCTAAGTTAGGTTATTCCAAGGATAGGTAATTGCAATCAATTTTAATTTAGATACAAGTCTAAACAAACAAAAAAAAATTCATATTCTCTCTTTGCACAGTCCTGGTTTCTTGCGTTTCGTTAACGTACTGATGAGCATGACGGGTCCTGAACGAAAAGCATTCCTACAATTTACAACTGGTTGTAGTAGTCTGCCTCCGGGCGGTTTGGCAAATCTACATCCCCGTTTAACAGTTGTGCGTAAAGTAGATGCCGGTGATGGCAGTTACCCATCGGTCAACACATGCGTCCATTATCTGAAATTGCCAGATTATCAAACGGAAGATATTATGAAAGAACGTCTGTTGACTGCAACTAAAGAAAAGGGATTCCATTTGAATTAAATTGAATTTAGATTTCGATTCAGTTAATTTCCTCATCCTCTATTTTCCTTTCTTTTTTTTTTTTTTTTTTTTTTTTTTACTCTCACCTTAAGCTGCAACAGATCAAAAAGAGGACACTAATATTCATTCTCACCCAATCTTTAAATCATATAGAGTGTATGGGATAAAGGAAGTGCGAAAAAATTTACTTAGGGAACTTTCATTAGGCAAGAAATTTGAAAATTTTACGCCCTCAAATCAAAGCATCGCAAAAGAAAGCGTTTAACTATTTTAGTTTGAATTTCTATTTTACACTTTCTTATCTATTCATTTCACTTTATACTATTGTCTTTATATATGTATGTGTGTTTATGTATGCGAGAATATGTGCATGTGTGAATTGACACATTTTTCGCTATTCTACTTCTACTCTGCATTTTGAATTTTTTTTATTATTGATTTCGGGTTTTCTCTTTTTTTTTTTTTTTTTTTTTTTTAGGTACTATAAAATTTTTTTACAAAAACAAATTATATTTAGAAAACAATTTTCTTAAATACTATCTTATTTCACTATTTTTCGCTCATTTAAACGGCATTGGATCGATTTTAATGCGAAAACTTTATTTCTCTACGTGTGAACGTCATTCGTGATATGAAACATAAAAAGGGGAACAAAGAAATCCAAATTGTCATGAATAATTTTCAATTTAAAATCATTTACATATACTTAGCAACACACTGACATTTATATAGGTTACGAAACGTTTTTTAATGAATTTGAAATTCTATAAAATTGAAATGTTTCTTAAATACGAAATTTTTATGTAATTAGTATCGGTTTGATTAGAAGTCAATTGCGTTTCATGGAAAGAACTTAAATTCGAAAACTAAACACGTAATAAATGTAGACATTGCGTACTATACATATATACAAAAAATATTTTCTTAATAAAACAAATAAACGGAACTTCATCAATATTTCTTCGCAGAATTCGAGAATCTAAGGAGAATAGAAGAGCTCAAGATGAGCAGGAGGAGGAGGAGGACGACGAGGCTTATTATCAAATGTTTTGATTAAATGATGATTAGGAACAATTTTCATATGTACATGAATATTTTATTAGTAGTATTAGTTCCTCTTTTTTAGGTTTTCTTTTTTAAGTGCATTAGATATCTATCTCATCATAGCTTGAATTTCATCACAGTCGGTGGCAGCCAATTTCTTATGATTAAATTAGATAAGAAAAGAAACTCATCATACGATCCCATAAAAAATATATTGTGATTTTGAGAAAAAAAAAAGAAAAAAAAAAAAAAAAGAAAATGAATACGGCGGACATGTTTTTAAATCTCGACTCCAGAAATTTAAATTAGTTGATACTGATATTTTTAACATAATTTTTGCAAATTACTACTATATTTCCCCCTGAACTTATCCATCACGTTATATATATTTAATCAATGAATTAGTTTTTAAGTCTTATCTTTCTAAGTGTTGATTCAACATGAAATCAAATAAATCTTATCAAATATCTAATAATCTTTTGCTAAATGTGTCAAATAATTCTCTTTTACATCACAAAATTTATTAAGAATTTCTCTTATATCGATTTTATCCCCTGTCCGATTGATTATTACCATCTTCCTTTACGTTAATGTATAGAGCCAAAGCCTTGGCTCAGATAGTTTTCATAGATGGAATTGAAGGCGATTTCATTTATGCGTGGCTGGCTGGCTTGAGCGCTTTTTTTCGATCAAAACACGGTCATAGGATGTGGATGCGATTGCGGCATATCGTATTTATAATTTTGCAGGCAAATAATTTGAAAAATCAGCTTTGACGAACCGGAATTGAGAGACAATGCTATCGGACGTAGAGAGCCGCTTGTGGTGGTACTTGCAAGCGCCTTCTTAAGAATACGTTCGAGCACTTTAGCACTTTCTTTGATTAATTGCGATATGTCGGTTTAGTAACCGTGCGCTCAAACTCCCGCCAAGAAGTAAGACTTGGTGCCTTTTCTTTCTTAAAGCGAATAACCTTTGAACTTGTTCATTGATAACTTGATATCCAAGTTTCATCATCTTTATTGCCTGCCTTTGATTCTTTTTACTCGGCTACACATTCTTTGGACTTTCTTCTCGAGACTTGGAAAAGGTGAATGGTATGGTTTTATTACGAAGGCCATTCTGAAGAATATCTGTATGGACATGTTGGTGAAGAAATTCCTTAAAGATTCCCATTTCGAACGGCAAGGAGTATATTGGACATTGTGCATCTAAAACAACTAAATGGGAGAAGCTGTTCTAGTCAATCATTTCCACGTATTGAAAAGTAAGTTCAAAGCTATTACATTATATTCGGTTGTGTAATACAAAGTTGTGCAATTTCAGGGAAAATTTCCCATTATTGTTTCGTGGTGGTTTCAATGAAACTTTTTGATTTCTTCATCAAAACTGACTGCAGGTAATGCAGAATCATCGAGTAATCAACTGAATTTATGGGAGTCAAGTAATGAGCTCTAGAAATTCTAGTACAAAATTCGAATGTTCCAAGAAATTTTCACATTTTTCGTAAGGTAATTATAGAGATATTAAAAAAGTTCGAAAATTGAGTTGAATAATCTGAAAATAGGTTAATACTGTCTTACTTATATGTTGACTGCTTTCAAACATTTAAGAATGCAGATTTTTTCAGTATTCTCATCTTTAATTAAAATTTGTTGTACAAGACGGCCTTAAGGTATTTGATTCTCCATAAGATATTTGCGCAAAGTAAGTTAGATTTTTTCGATTCACAATTTTCATCCTCAAGGACGGCAAAACATTGTAGGCGCTTTAAAAAATAAAATTTTTTGGGTGCGAGAGAAGGTGTGAGGACAATAATATTCGGGAAAGTTACATTTAAGTATTAAAAGAAATATTTTTTGAAGAATATTAACAAAGCAGTTACAGGGTACGAAGTTGAGTTGACGTTTTTTTATACACTCCATCGAAGGATGTTCTTGCATTCCACAAGCACTTTTAGGTGACATGTATACGTAAGATTCTATGCGGAACTCAAATAAGTTCGTAGGCATGACATACAGATGAACGGTCGAAATGTCATGAAATTTTGACTTATTTCGTTTTAATAGTGGTATTATCTAAAAATCGACCTTATTGTGTGTTAGAAGGACGAGGCTTGCCGTGAACGCTATCGATGGTGCGATGTCATATGTAAAGTTTGAAAATTTTACTTCGCAACAGAAGCAAATTTGATGTAATTTATAAGGAAAGTTTATATTACGTATTTCGGCGACAAGAATTGAAAGTGATTTAGTGATTTAGTGAGTGATTATTACTTTCGTTTCACTACCTGGACGTGAATACATATTTTGCAATGACTGGATGGGTTCATTTTACAAACACACACAGAACATCTGAAACATGGTTTCCAATTAAATAATAAATCCTTCATATGTTAGCAAAATATTCGTGTGAGCCATGGAGTCGCCAGTAGTGCATTAAAGCTGAAGTTTTCATCTTCAACATAAAAATCGTTATTGTTGAAGAATCTAAGTTAAAATCCTTACGTTGTTTCAAGCGAAACATGATCGCTGTCAGGCTCGACAAGAATTCTATATGTTCCAACTGCAGATTTTTTTTTTTAAATTAGTGGAGTGATATTCTGCTAAATACGACACTATCGACACTATGAAACACTAATTTCTATATTAACGGTTTAGCATCTTAAACTAAACATAATTAGTTCTGATAAATCTATAAGTTGGAAAACATCAAGAACTTGCACAATCGCCCAATGTAACCAACCGTAACATACCAGACGTCAGTCCTTCTTGTCACGTAGTGACTAACTTATTTTTAGGAGGTTTTTGCAAGAGAAGCTTTGGAAAATAGACTAATGTGGTTCCAGTTTGCATAGGACGACTATTTCAAAACAGGGGATTGATCTAAAAATATTCGAATTCGTACCATTTTCAATATTAGTGGCAGCTGTGTACCAAGCTCCATCAAAACATTCCATAAACTGCAAACGAAACGAAGTGACAACCGATAGAGCGAAAATTTCAAATCGAATCTGAATACTGAAGCTGGGTCTGTCTCAAGCTATTCTGTATCCAGAAACTTTGTACTGTGACGAATCAAGCCACTCCCTCTTGGTGGGATAAGCTCAGCAGCTCCAGGTTTTTGTTTCACAAGAATTTTCCTTGGATGTTTTTATTTTCTTATGATTTCTAAAAGATTTTAATAGTCGCTTCTGTTTCTTTGATTTTATATTTTTAAACACAATTTAACAAATTCTACAAGAATTCTTAAATTCAAATAATCGTTTATTTTGTTTCGATTTAAACTCTTATGACAATTTTTAGATTTCAACTTTTATTTCTCGTTGCACTTGATTAGTAAACTACTGCAGATGAGTTTTATTTTTCCAGTTCGAATACAAATTAATTATCTTAATTTAAAAATCTATTACCATCATCAGTGTAACCGCACCAACCGGACTAAACTGTCCACTCTCTTTGCTTTCTTTATCTTAAATAACTTTCTCTAACTTACTCTAGCACTGACAAACTTGACTAAATTTCCGCTTAAGCTAATTACTTTCACCTTCTTCTGATTTCTCTTTACTTAACGCAAATTCTGCCTAACTTACTCTAGCACTCTCCCTCAAAGACGAAGAACCTGTGAGGTCGAAACAAGGGACGACTTTGGCTCCTCACAGTGAAATAATAATAATAAAAAGCATTTCCATTATACGATCAAATGTATGAAACGGGACCTTCTTGCTTTTAAAAGATAAAATAACCGAAAAATACAATCACAGTCGAAAATACGAATATCATTTTATAATTTTTGCTTGTTTGATTTAAAGTGAGACTTTGCATCAATCAGAATTGGCTTTCTTTGAAAATGTCTGTATTGTCTCAGCTTCTGCAAAAAAAAAAAAAAAAAAAAAAAACCAGAAACAGAAAACGACCGCTTGTAGGAATTTGTCGACAATTCTGGAGAGATATCTCTTATTGAGAAGATTGGCAACACTGCTCGGTCGCATGTGTAATATCATCGATATTCTAGCGATTATCTTAATAATTCTGTTTTTAATATAACCGAAGTAATCTACCGAATAATATCTGTTGCTTCATTAAATATTGATTTAATCTCGTAACTACACATATTCTGCATTTAAATTACTAATCATTTGAGGGAGAAAAATGGTAAGTGAAAAAAAGTGAAAAGTGAATACAAGGAGAGCTACTACGAGTATACACAAATAAATCCGTAGTTCACAGCCTAATTTAATGTTACGTTGCATGCATGAATAAAATAACTTATTTTCTTTTTGTATTTAATCAATAGTAGTTGCATACAATAAAGCAATTCGTTCTTTTTTAATATGAGCCAAGTAAATGAAAACTTTGGACACTCCCTCTGTAGATCGAATAATTGAATTATTAATTAATTCAATTGGACAAAAATAACTTTCATTTGACCTTCGATGCTAAGTTTGTGCGTGTATTTAAAAATTGAACCTAATATATGTGACTTAAGCCATAAAAACGTTTGTATCTAACGGTGTTCTGTGTAATAAAACAATAAATACAAGCCTTTGCAAGTGTCGTAAAGCTATAATAGTACACTACAGTTATCGTTTTACTTGTGACATTTGAACATACATCGAAGACTTAACTAAAATTTTTGATTAAGTTTAATACATTGACTGTGATTTGAATCATTCCTGTTTTTGGTATAAAAACCCGATTCTTTTCAACGACAATAAGTTTAAGTAATAACTTCTATCTAAGATACAAACTTGAATGAGATAACTCGTATATATTGACATTAAATTAATAGCAATTATGCGAACTTTCTTCTTGATAGGATCAGCTTGAAAATATGCGGCTTAGCAGGATTAGTAAACTGATAAGAATTGTTTTTCTTGTATTTATGGAAATTTTCAACACATTCATAAGTGCGTATGTAAACTTGTGCGTCTGAATTATGTTTTTATGTCCATTAACAAATCGTGGCTGTGTTTTTTTTGTCAAAACGTTTGCGACAGCTATAAAGTACATACATTCTTGATCAAACGAGTTGAACATTCTGGCAGATAGGGCAGATTGGCTAGTGGGTACATCCACAGCGCAACGTAAATCGAAAGCACCTTTCCTTCCCCGCGTTTTTGCTAATTACTCATAAATTGTAATACAACAATGAATTTTTCCCTGTGCATTTTATCACACCTGGTTTGTGCATAACTCGCACGTCCATCCAAGATAAAGTATCGAAAATCGTTACTATTATTTCTTTTTGCTTTTGAAATAAAGACGGCAGTTGCAAAAGATAGGGTAAAAGCTGAATATTTGTTACTTATTATACCCTACACCAATTGCGATACAAGGATATATTAAGTTTGTGGGGATATGTGCAACACTCACAACGACTTGATATTGACGCAATTTTTATTTAACCGAACGATTCGGGATCGCTTTCTGAACCGATATAAGTAAGTTCGTCTGTCCGGTTTTCCGTTTTCTTTTCTTGTGTTGAACCTGCAGACCTCACATTTTGATATATTTTAATAAAATGTGGTACTCCGACCAAAGACAAACGCTATTAAAAATGAAGTGGATTCTTCATCCATTTGCCAAATGACACCTCATTTTGAAAAGTTGTCATATGGATAGCTTTAGGTAGGTGTAGGGCGTTTTATATTGCGCCGTGACCCATTACAGTATTTTTATTATTTTTTTCGCTGGAATTCTTAATCGTTTGAAGTTTTTTTGAGATTAAAAATGAAAAAATATTGAGTGATAGCTAACAGTGTGATGGCTAGAAATGAGCATAACATTTTACGAAGAAAATAAGTGAGTTAGAGTAGATAAATTAGATTAACCGACTTACTAATAGCACGGTGAGAAAAACTCGCCAGGACAGTTATTTCGGAAATCGAACGTTAGATATAGATCATCGCATTAGTATCTTTTCAGTATTTCCTTAAGCAAGCTTTCTTGGAATGCCTATCTAATAAAATTGAAATTAATTTCGATAACTGTGTTTTTGCCAATAAATTGACAATACAGATTGACAATTGCCAAACATAGCTCGTAAACTGAATGTAAAAGCGGTGAGAAGCAAGCTATTTGAGTGAAGTTCAATAACTCATGCTTTCATGAATACCTATGGAACAAAATGAAAAATCTCACTAATACCCCTTTCAGTGCAAGCACACAGCTCGCTTTTCTTCGAAAATCGATCCTTCTAAAGATGTCGTGTATAGTGACCATCAGCTGTCCTTTATCATTAACTCCCTAATCTTTCACGCAGCTCAAACATAAACAAAACTTCAAATACCTTGTCGAATCACTGCAATGAGGCGAAGTATATAATCAATCCCGTAGTTGAACTGCATCTAAAAAAAATACTTAAAGTTAAAGGGACATTTAAGGTACTAAGTTAATATTTTAAGGCTCGGATACTTTTACTGTATAAAGAAATGAGAACAGTGTTAGTTTTTACTAAAGATTATTGTTATTTTATATTATTCAGCCTGTAGGGACCGATTACAAGTTGTTTTGAATAAAATTTAGCCTCACTGTTCTAGTATTTCGAGAGGGAATTGTAACGCAAGTTTTCCTCGTTTTTATTTGAATGCTTCCCCTAGTTTGGAGAGTACACGAATTCGAGCATCACACAGTCCGATTGAAGTAGCTACGTCAGCTCTAAAAATTTCAAAAAATATCTAACTGAAGTTTTTATTTTTAGGCTGAACCAATCCGTGTCGTAGTTACTGGTGCTGCCGGTCAAATTGCCTATTCACTACTTTATATGATTGCTCGTGGTGAAGTGTTTGGTAAAGATCAACCACTAATTTTGCACTTATTGGACATTCCACCCATGGTTGATGTTTTGGAAGGTGTTATTATGGAGTTGACTGACTGTGCTTTACCGTTACTACGCAACGTAGTTCCTACTACGGATCCAGCTGTTGCATTCAAAGAAGTTGCGGCTGCGTTTTTGGTTGGTGCTATGCCACGTCGGGAAGGAATGGAACGCAAAGATTTACTCTCAGCAAATGTAAAAATCTTTAAAATTCAGGGTCAAGCATTGGATAAATATGCCAATAAAGATGTTAAAGTGTTGGTTGTTGGTAACCCAGCCAACACAAATGCCGCAGTATGCGCCTATTATGCGCCCACTATTCCACGAGAAAATTTTACGGCAATGACTCGCTTGGATCAGAATCGCGCACAGGCACAAATTGCTACCAAAGTTGGTGTGCCCGTAGCCGATGTAAAAAATGTGATAATTTGGGGCAATCATTCGTCTACTCAGTTCCCCGATGCTAATCATGCCGTTGTAATGATAGGCAATACAGAAAGATCAGCCATCGAAGCTGTAGGTGATGCTGAATATTTAAAAACTTCATTTATTGAAGTCGTGCAAAAACGTGGCGCCACAGTGATTGCAGCTCGTAAAATGTCCTCGGCTATGTCCGCAGCGAAGGCTGCTTGCGATCATATGCATGACTGGTGGTTTGGCACCCCGGCCGGAAAATTTGTTTCAATGGGTGTTATGTCTGATGGCAGCTATGATACTCCTAAGGATGTAGTTTACTCATTTCCAGTTGAAATAAAGAATAAGCAATGGAAAATTGTTCAGGGACTTCCGATCAATGATTTTGCAAAATCAAAAATGGCTCTTACTAGCAAGGAGTTATTGGAAGAAAAGAATGAAGCGATGGCTGTTTGCAGTACGGATTGACTAGCTAGCCCGTCGGATTCAAAACTGTAGATGACTATTGACCAATCTTCCGTCCTCTTTTAGGGGAGGATATGACATACATAATATATATGCGCGTTTTCAATATTGACGATGTGCACGATGTTTTCTTACTTTTATACGCAAACAAATCTATAACAGCGGTCTTGTATAGTTTATATGTATTATGTATGTATGCATACACATATATATAAAAATAAATGATGTTGTGGTTTTTTTCCGGCAATCGTTTCCGTGCTTTTCCGAATTAATTCTATGGTTTCATGTAGGCTACAGCCAATCAAAACACATGTTTTTATAAAACGTACTGCCAACGAAATATATGTATTTGTAATTAAACGAGGTTTACAAGCGAATTGAATTATATTTTATCGAGAATTTGTGGGCCCGGATTTCTCGTTTTAATTGGGATAGAGTATATCGTAATGGCCCGGCCTATAGATAAGAAAAACCTTGGGTGTTTGCCCCTCAGGGAAATCGTGAGCCTTTACCATTCCACCTTCACCCCGGTCCATATATTCAACGCGTACACCTACTCCCAAAGCTGAACAAAGAGCAATGATATGGATATGATCTGATTCTTTATACATGGGCTCGACCTCCTGATGCCGAAACTCTTCAATAGTATAATTGCCTTCTATAAAATTTTGATAGAAATCTGCCTCCTCTTCAAGTTTGCCTGAGGTAAGTAATCGTAAGTAAACGACGACATAATCTGAATAGCCCTGGTCGTTAAATACATTGTGCAATTGTGCACTCATATCACCTTCGGATGTGGCATTTGGGTCTACTTTTCTTACAACTTCCATGAACTGAAAGCATATAAATATTTATTTCGTTAATTTAAAAAAAGTGCGAATGCCACGACTGTTTTCACTATTAAAAATCTTCTTAAATTACATACCGTTTCATGAAAATCTTCCAAAGTGAGTCTTGGAAAACCTAATTCGACCAACTTGTCTTTAGAAGTTTCAGCTAATTGACGAAATTTCTCATAATCGTCTTTGTTTGAGATCAAATGCTCCAAATATGCATAAGCGAACGCCCTAAAAAAACAATTGCCATCGGGACGTGTGCGCCGCATGAACGAATATTTACTTGCCAGGTCTAGAATTTTGGAAGTGAACACTGCATCACCTAAATACTCTTCATTTAAACATGCCACCGGCAGTTTTTCGCTAACTAACGGAATAGTTTCACTAATCTGGAAGATAAAAATCAAACATATAGAAATAGCGGTTCCTAATGTTGAAAATGTCTATCGATGCAGACCTCTTTTTCAATTTCCCTTTGCTGTTGCATTATTAGCTCGTCCCTGTTGACGTTGTCGTTTTGCTCCAATTTTTCCATGATGTGTTATTTTCAATTATTTTTAAAAATTACAAAAATCACAGTTCATCAATAATTTCTTTTATTGTTAGCTTACTCAAGGTTGATATAAAAAAGCGCCTGTGTTTATTTTTAGCGTTGCCACTGATGAGTGCTTCAAAATACAAATTTTAAATCAATATATCGCCGCGATAAACTACTAAACAGTGACTATGAAAATACTTTTCATCCAAATCGCGAGTACGTCGCGAGTAATTTCTGATCAGATCAATAAAGGCAAGTGTCCCACGTGCTTTGTATTCCGCCTTATTTAAACGTCTATAATACAGCGACAGACATTAAGCAGTAAATATTTACAAGTTTTAATGAAAACGCAAGTCTAAAATGTAACATGGCCTTATTATCGATACGTCGCCATCGCGAAAATAATATTGACTTCATTTTTGAATTGAAAAACATCGAGTTAAAAGACCCAAGGGTTAAGCGTTAGTCGTTTTTTTTTTGATTACCATACTTATACGTTGTGATATATTGTTGCACTATGTTTGCGAACTTTTCAGCCGCTATTCGAGAGCTCGTACTGCTCCCATTACGCATTTTTGATGGTTTCGCTCTGGGCTTAGGTAGTTATAAGTTACACAATCTCTTCTTATTCACCTCAACTCCTAAAAAAACAATAATTTCCTTATATTTGTACTGATATACATGACAGCGCTTATATATTAAATATAGGCATGTAAAACTGGTGCATAATGTCGGAGACTTAAAAATTAATTACCCCAGCGCTTGTGTATAGAAGTTGTCGTTGTCTTTTATTCACTACGGAATACATTGGCTTTCACTTTTCCCAATAAATTTTCTTATATATAATAACTATTTCTGGTAAGTCACATCGTTACATTTAGATGACTAATTAATTTATTCATTTATCTTTAATTTCACTAATCGTTGTAATTCGTCGTTACGCCTTATGTAATACGGACTCTAAATGAAGGTTTTGATTGTGAAACTTCGAAAAACATTTTTTTTCTTTCATTAATTTCTGGAAAATTTAGGTATTAGGCTTAAAAAAAGCTAGGCAATATTTGGATGCGTATTCGTTTCGGCAAAGTTAAATTGAATTGATATTAAAAACGTGAATATAAAACATTGAAAATTGAGTAACTTGTCATACTTGGAAAGTCGACAAGTTCCTGCGTGGTCCTGTTCATTCCTATCAATGGATTTAAAGCCATAGTCTAATTCGTACGTAGTAGTGGACGCACAAAAAATCAATCATATAATATGGCACAGAGATTTTCGATTCAATCCTCAGCGAAAATCGGGGCACTGTCCCCAAAATTTATTATGATAAATTTACAGTTTTTCCACAAGTTAAAAAAAAATATTTCTCAACGGCGCGAGTTGAATAGGAAAACGTTTTTATAACAAATGTAAAGTTTGATGATATCGAATTATCGTTAATGTGCCATCACAAAATCGGCAGTGACTTCATTTGTGAATTAAAATTCCTGGACTTTTAAGTAAACATAGGTGTAGAATTGGATATTACATTACGTATCTGTTGTACACATAAGATTTTGTCGTTTTACAACACTAGCCGACTATGGTAAATTACTTATTGTGGGGAAACGACTTGTACATCATCTTTCTTGGCATCGAAATAGAAATACAATTCGCATTTTGCAATGAATTTTAACAGATTACGTGAAACAAATACCGACGGCAATTCGCATTTTGCAATGAATTTTAATAGATTACATGGAACATAAAGCTGGCGGCTTTGCAAATTAAACGATCTGGCAATTTAAGTTGTTAGTTGGGCACTCAACCATTTTTGGCAATTTATTTATTTATTATAAGCGACTCTGTGCCCTGCCTTTCAACAGGCAATTCAGCGAGGGCGTTGTTTAAAAATTATGACGGTTTAATTCTAAGCTAACTTGCAAAATAAAATAAATTAAGAAATTTTATAATCGCGAATTTTATCAGACTTTGTAGAATCGAAAGGCAGTTTACGTTACAATTTAATATTTTGTTTACTAGCTTGTATCTAAAGGAATACCAAATTTTGTCGTGGATTTTATTTTGTCGAAAATATTGAAAGTGCTTAGAGAAGTGGTTTACCTGAATGCTCGTGTTGCTTCTTTTACTTACTTAGGTGCTGGTAAGCCGAACATTTAATATTTTCATGAATCTTAAATGATAATAAAATATAATATTATTTTTTATATTAATTATCGAAACAGTAAATATATTAATTTTCTTTCTGCGACAACCTTACGCTGGTCACATCCTTAAGTTGGTCACAATCTTTTGTGGGAAGAAAGGATCGATACTTAGATTATAACTTACACATACACATGCAATAAATTTAACCAGATAATAAATTCTTTTCTTTTAAAGCTCACTTGAGATTTGAAGCCACTTGGGCGGATAACTTGTAAAATTAAATAGTTTAGTTGGCGCATTTTCCAAAACACTATACATGCATCTACAGGAGATGATAGAAGAGCAAAAGCGACCAACTCAATTAAAAAGAATCGGAAACAATCAGGAAACCATTAAAAAGAATAATTTCTGTTATATATATTTTTATATATATTAATAAAGCTATTTTAAGTATATAATAAAGCTATTATATAAATAAAGCTATTTATATTTAAATATAAATTATATAAAATGTAACAAATATCAATTTATTTATTTACTTATTTCATTTAATGATAACATAAATTACAAACTAGAAATTATTTGATTCGTAAATGTACACACACACGCTCACATTCTTCTTTACGTAAATAAATTTGTGATATTTGCTAAATTTGGAGTTTACAGATTAATTGGGCCGTAGAAGGTAGGCAGTTAGCTGCCGTCCTCACTAACAAAATTGGACGTCTTGTTACCGTAAAGGACGTCCAACACAAATTTAACGCAATTAAAACGCACCTAAAAACATTGAACAAAACAAAGGCACAGTCCTGTCCGTGCAGACAGGACTGTGCCCTTTCCTATGGTACGCCATAGAGTTGAAGTTGTGGCACGCAGCAGACAGACTGACGAAACAACTAGTAAGAGACGGAAAATTAAAAATTATAATGGAAAGGGATTATGAAGGAACGAGGGGGGAACTAACTACCGTTGGAACCGTTGGTAGTAAAAGCCATGAAAATATTAACAGTAGTAATAATAATATATCAAATGACGAAGGACCTTCGACATCCGCGAAGGCGATGAAGGAATTAAAAGAATGGCAACAGCAATCAACACCAGCATGGAACGAGCAGCAATCAACACCAGCATGGAACGAACAACGATCAACCTCCACATACTGCGAACGGCAATCAACCCCGACACAGAGTCCGCCAAAAAAAAAACAAAGGCACGAAACAGACCAGCCTGAAGAGCCCGCAGTTCAGGAGGAAACAGCAGCCGCAGTGCCGGATATGGAGATACTGCGAGAAATCGTGAGTCGATTGACTCCTCACGACAAAATAGTAACGCTGCAGATAGACGAAACGTATACCAGCCTGCGAACGGAATATTTAGACGAGGAAGATAGGCTTACTGGATGCGGCCATGTGGAGGGACAAAAAGAAAAAATATACAGGACGGTATATATAATAGGAGCACGAAGCATATTAACACCGTTCAATATGCTACTCGGCACATATCACATCATAAAGTACAAAAGAGACTCAAGATTAGCATTACAATTATTAGATAATTATATTGACTTGGCGACGGACATAGGACGCGACTTTAAAGCAGTGGTTGGCGACCGAGGCAGTCGAAACAGAAAGATGATGCAAAGCTTTAATAATGGCATCTATCGGAAAAAAACCAAAGAAGGACGTATTATTAAAATCCGCCTGATGTACGATTACATCCACCTAGCAAAAAGCTTCTTTATACATATGAAAGAAGGCAAGCACTTCGACTGCAATATAACAGCATATTTAAAAAAGCGTTATTTTGAAAACACGAACAAAGAAGCATGCGAATATTGGGTAAACAGAGGTGTGGTACCAACGGTCGTGCATCGTATGGATTTCCCCGAATACGTCGCCTATTACGCGGACGTGACGCCAGCGTTCATAAAAACGGCGATGAACAGTAATGCGATCAGAGGTCCGATAGTGGAACGGACGTACAAATTTATAAAGGCGGCAACAAGATTTGTGAACGTCTTCCATAGGAAGACAATCAACACGTCCACTTGGCCACACCTGAAAGGCACATTAAAAGAAGCGTACAAATACTTTAAAAAGTATTTAACAACAAATCTGTTGTCCATCGAGATAAGATTCACGATACTCAACTTTATCAAAATTGTTGACAAATTACTACGGGCTTACCCTGAAATTTCAATTGCAGGGTACAGGGTAAGCCAAGATATAATAGAAAGATTTATCTGCAATATGGCCCCAACTTACAGGAGGAGAAGAAGAACGGAACACGAAATCGAAGTCCTGGTGCAGCGATTGATTGCGAAACAAAGAGATTATTGGAGGCAACAAGATGGAACCATCGGCGACTACGACCTCGTCGAAACATTGGGTTACCGAATCCAAAAACAGGCCCAGCAAGACTTTCGGCCACTTCACCTGGATGGCGCAAAATACAAAAATGTAACAACTCGCCGACGAACGCTACAGCATGCTGATACTTCTAGATACATGCCAGATACTTCAGACTGATGACAGGGTATGCTGTAGGAAAATATATAAGAGATGAAGTGTCAATCATGCCTTAATGAATTTACAATAACAAAAAGAAGCGCGGCAGAATTGTGACAAAAAACAAGTACGATAACAACATATTATCGTACAAATACCTTAAAGCGGAGTTTTTGAAAGAAAACGTTCAAAAAACGTTTAAATCCGTTTATAAAATGGTGTACGCAGTTTGCGAAGAATGCATGCCTGACAAAAATCTTGGGAAGGATATCCAAGTAACCGCCTTAAAAAAACTACGATTCTTCAAAACGGAAGGATGCTGCCCAAATGGAATGGAGCACCGAAGAAACCTGCTGGGTTATGCTATAAAATTGGCGCTACGCGGCGAAAACTGGCTAGAAGAGCCGGTTTGCAACGTATCATCATTCTCCAAACAACTGCCGGACAATTCATTAATATATGAAAGACTGCCATAGGCCAACGGTAAGTTCTCGATCAGCTTTATGTATAAAATTTAGTAATTATATTATTTTTCTTTTGCAGATCAAGGTGTTAATGACAGCCGAACAGCAGCCATCGTATTTACTTTTTATTTAGATCATATATATTTATACGTTTTATGTATTTATGTATTATGTACGTATATTATCTATAAATGAAGATTTTGTTTATTTACCGTTAATATTGTAAATATTATTATAGTTTTAAGACAAGTATATAATGGTGTAGGCCTAAAGGGGAGCCAGCGATTTAAAACAATTGGCAACGCACCTAGCACGGTACCTCAAAGGTGGTGTGGAAAACCGTGAAAAAAAAATGAATGGATGCGTCAAATTTAGCAACTGTTCGGTTTTCTTAAGTGCTTTAAGCAAATGAAATAGCAACTTTAAAATTAAACTATTAAACAAAAAACGGGCATAAAGGAAAAGGTGAAATTGAAAACAACAAAAACAATAGTTTGACTTGTTTAAAACAACGTAAATCGTAAATCATAAACGTTTATTGAAATGCGACGATCGTTATCGCGATATTATTAAGCAAGAACCGCAGTAGTTGGAATACGATTAATTAAATGGGTCGCAGACTATAGTTAACTAAAAGAGATATAACAATTAATTAACCAGGCGCTTAGGAAAATCGTCCGACATGCCTGCTAGTGAATTTCCTTCTGTTTGCACTTTCCATCGCGTTGATATTTTCACACACTCTGCAATAATTTTAGTAAATAACTGCCAAAGTTTTTTAAGCATCGCTATGATGTGAACATTTGAACATATTTAAAGAGTGAATAGTCGCTAATGTTGGCACGCATAATTTAGCATCCCTGTTTTTTCTTTCAACATATGGTGTTACATACCGTTTCATGAAAATCTTCCAAAGTGAGTCTTGGAAAAACTAATTCGACCAACTTGTCTCTTAGACGTTTCAATAGTTTCACTAATCTGGAAGATAAAAATCAAACATATAGAAATAGCGGTTCCTAATGTTGAAAATGTCTATCGATGCAGACCTCTTTTTCAATTTCCCTTTGCTGTTGCATTATTAGCTCGTCCCTGTTGACGTTGTCGTTTTGCTCCAATTTTTCCATGATGTGTTATTTTCAATTATTTTTAAAAATTAAAGAAGATTTGCATTTTTTTAAATCTTTTAATTATTGTAGACACGAAAATATATTTTCTTTATCTTTTATTGCTTTTGTTCGTTCTTCTTTCCTTTTATTTTCTCAAAGTACACTTTTTGTCCAATAAATTACTTTATTTAATATACAATCGTTTTTTTCTGAATTTTTTCACTTCAAATACAAACTACGCTGCTCACAGTTGTCTGATGTATGTATTTTTAAAAAATTACAAAAATCACAGTTCATCAATAATTTCTTTTATTGTTAGCTTACTCAAGGTTGATATAAAAAAGTGCCTGTGTTTATTTTTAGCGTTGCCACTGATGAGTGCTTCAAAATACAAATTTTAAATCAATATATCGCCGCGATAAACTACTAAATAGTGGCTATGAAAATACTTTTCATCCAAATCGCGAGTACGTCGCGAGTAATTTCTGATCAGATCAATGAAGGCAAGTGTCCCACGTGCTTTGTATTCCGCCTTATTTAAACGTCTATAATACAGCGACAGACATTAAGCAGTAAACATTTACAAGTTTTAATGAAAACGCAAGTCTAAAATGTAACATGGCCTTATTATCGATACGTCGCCATCGCGAAAATAGTATTGACTTCATTTTTGGATTGAAAAACATCGAGTTAAAAGACCCAGAGGTTAAGCAATACATCAGCCCTGTTAAATGGCCTTAAATGGCAAAGCGGTCGGCAATAAATTAAAGCGATGTAAAAACAACAAACAATAGCAACAATAGTAGTAAAATAAAGCATATTGTTGCTTTTCTTTCTTTTTTCAACTTTATTGAAAATGTTTGGTTATTATAAAAAATACAATATTAAAATAATCTCATAATAATAAGTAAATAATAAACTAAAGCCTAAAAATATAATTGCAATCTACAAGTAAAAAACAACATATATAAAATGAATTTTAGAAGCGTCTTCTAATTATACTAATTCATATATCTTATTTTGATATCCTTATTTCCAAATTTCTGGCATTATTTTTGCCACCCTATTTCAATAGTCACTTTTTTAACACAGAGGTGTTACAAAAGCCACTCAATGAATAATTAAGCGCTTCCAAAACTCAAAACCAACTAAAGAAACAAATTAACCAAGTAGCAACTGCTAGGTGACTTACTTTGTCACTTGCTTTAATTACCGCACTGACCCAACTGCAGTGTAATAATTTCGCTGCATTTTGTAAACTTAGCATCTAAAGCCATCGACTTTGCTGTAAAGTCTAAGCGTTGTCTTGGTAGTCAAGTTTCTTTGCCTTCGGCCGAATTAAATATATATAATGCAAAATAAATGTTTTATATATTATTATCGTTTCCAGGCCTGCGAATATAAGCGAGGCTTCATTATGTTTTCCGCCAAAGGGTGTTAAGACAATGAAGCTTCGCATATATTCCCAGGGCTGGGCATGTGCTTAGATTATAAATTTTTCATAAACTGGGAGATAAATTTGATTTATAAATCTTCACATATGTTTATATATCAATACCTCATTTATAACTTTGTCAAATTTATAAAATTTTCAGGTTGAAAATCTTTTCCGGACGTGGAAATATAAGCGGAGTTTCATTATGCTTACAACGAGGTTCCGCTTATATTTCCACAAGCAAGTAGCTGACACAATAAAAGCCTGATTTGTCTGACTTCAATCATTTTATAAGACAAAGCAAACAAATCTACGCATATCTAAATAACTAACATTTTTTTCTTCTTTTGTTTGAATAATATATTATTCTGCAAGACAATTAACAGCAAGCTTCAAACCCTTTCTCCCAAAATTTTTAATTTGTCGGTAGAAACATTTAAACCTTGCTAACCGCTCTTAGCTTCATATCTATTCAAAAATCACCTTGTTTATTAATATGTTACATATGTTTGACAACGCTTTTAGATGAACATAAACACATCGCAAAGTTCCATATTGGCCGTTACTCGTTGTAACCGATCTTTTCGACAATGCTCTCTTTACCATGGCATTGTACCCTTGTTGTACTCAGGTTTATGTCCCCTTTTAATTACTTTCTATTATTATTATTATTATTATTTTCAACATGCATGAAACGTGACTAGAACTCCCAAATACGAGTAAATTTCGCAGCATCTGAGAGCAATAGAAAGAGCGAATCTGAATTTGTTTACATGTGAAGCCACCTAATGGGTATGGTGGAATACTCTGAGAAAGGAAAATGTATAATTTTTTAATTGTTGTTGCAGAATCAGGTGTTTCAGTTGTATAATTGCGGATGTGTTTTATATCTTCATTTATTCACAAACAACAACCGACGATTTTATTGCCATCTCTGTGTTTAATGTGAATAAAAAGAGATAGATTTCTATTCTGTAAAGAGTGAAGGTGTATTGCATTTTGCATTTGTGTCTTGTCTGACGTGGTTTGTATTGCGGATAATTTTTGTCTAAAGGAGAAAATGTGTATATGTGCACAATGAAATATGCAAATAGGAAATGCATTAAAGTATAGGAGATGATATAAAAGAGCTAAAATAACAACAAAATTCGAAATAGTTTGTATTCATTTTATTACATAGCTAGTGATAAAATTTGCCGCTAAATTGTGTAAGACGAAACTAAAACAGCTGAAAAACTAAATATACCAACAACAAAAGTCAAAAGAGCCAAGGCGAGCAGCCAGCTGTTATATATAGAAAAGAAGCAAATTGAAAGAAAAAATCTTAACAAACAGCGAATAATCGACATTATTGCAATCTATTTTATATAGTGAGAGTGTATTGGAGAGCGTCACTTTTATTGTGTCAGTGTATAAGTAACAGGGAGTGTGTAAAGGAGAATAACAAGGCAAACGGAAAAAACACCGTTTTTGGGTTTCGTTGATGTTTTTGTATATAGCCACCGATTCTTCTGTTGCTTTTGTTTTTTTTTTAACCTGAAAGAAAAGTGAAAAATCAAAACAGAACTCACAAAGACCTAAAAAATATTTTAAATCAGAAGCCAAGTGAAATATTTCAAATTAAACATTATAATAAAAAATTGTCGCCGGAAAATTACTGCAAATAAGTACAGGATTCGCATACAAAAAACCACGTGTTTTTAAAATTATAATATTTTACATCATATAAAATATTCTCAAAATTTTGAGGATAGAAGTGCACGTTGATATATAAAAAAATTGTGTTCACTTTAAAAAAGAAAAAAATGTCTGCACCAGTTCCAATTAAGACAGAGGAAGTTATATTGGAAAACGTTGAATACAATAGTGCCGAAGAATTGGATGAAGAGTTGCAGTAAGTAATATATGTATACACATATTTACAAGTACATCTACTAAAAAGTGGTCAATTTTAATACGCAATTTATTGATTTTATGTACGCCTGTAGTGTAATATTTTTGTAGTAAACGTGACGGCAATCATAGCCATATGTTATTTGCAAACATGTACTGCGTATATATATATATATATATATATATATTGAAAACAAAATAAATATATTGTAGCTGTTTATAGAAAACATATGTGGATCAGATCTACGAAATCGGAGTATTCGCCTCACATCGCTAGAATTCGGGATTTTTCTTCAACGTTTAACAAAAAAAAAAAAAAAAAAGAAGAAAATATGGCGCAAAGACACCGTGTTTTGTCATTTTTGTTTCATTTTTCACTTCATTCCCAGTACAACATTTACGAAAAATTAAAACGAACGAATAAGTAATTCACGAATGAAAAAATTTCTCCCATCTTTACGTTATTAAATTTGTTAATTGCAAAACTTTAAAAATTTTGGTTTAGATCAGCTGCTTTTGCTTTTCGTCTTATCCAGGTTTCGTAGTGTTTGGTTTATCTATTAGATCGCCTTTTTTTCATTTTGACCATGTGTAGCTTTATTTCTTTTAGTTACTTTGTTGCTATTGAAACAGCTGTACCGGCAAATGTAGTGACAATCGCAATAAACCTAACAACTGGAAAATCATATAGTCCATCAGTAAACCAATTACTAATCAGCTTTGTATCAACGACAATACAATAACATAAGTCGTATTTATTTTCTCAATATCATGTGTTTTTTTTTTTGCTTATTCAGTACGCCGTTGTCACATTTTCTTTGGAATGTATAGTTTGTCACTTTCATTCCAGTATATGCCGTTATAATAAGCGACGATGTTATTCTCTTATTTTGAAGCTTTCTTTGTTTTTTACTTATATGTATACGCATGTGTATGTAGTGTAGGTTTCTGTTTAGGTGCAGCGAAATTGTATGCGTTTAGTAAACACTTGTTAAAGCAAGTCATTTGAGAACAGTGGCATTTGAAAGAGTCTAATGTGTGACCGTCTTTTATAAATTACAGCCAATTTATGGCGCAATATATATTTGTACATACATACTGTTCATATGTTTTATTCAATGACTACTGATTTTACTTGAAATAAGAAAGCATAGTCGGACTTTAAGGGAAATTTATTCATATTATTTTAAGTAGTTTGTTTTCTCGAATGCTTCTGATCATTCGCTATTTCTAATCCTTTATGGTATGCTAATAAATTTAAATATGTTTTATTTTTTTTATATTTCCCGTCTAGTGCCCCTTTTTTAATAACCAATCAATATATATATATATAACCTATAAAGCGATAAAGCCTTATGTGATTTGTTGCATGTATAGTGAATTATTTAAATTTTGGTTACGAAAATTATTTTATCGCAAAACTTTACTTCTTTACATTAAGTGTTTATAATTATCCTTATATTCTTTCTACGTATACGTTTTCGTTTAGAGCCTTTGTTTCTTTCTTTGCATTATCGGCAGAAACATTTCAATCATATGATACTATAACGTATGACGCCTGCATTTGTGTCTAAGAAAGTAAATAAGAACAGCTGATTAAACATAAATTCTAATACTTAACATTCTTTTGGTAATAAAAGAACGAAAAAATTAAATTCTCAATTATATCTAATGAAAACATTAAGGATTCATAGAAAAGAAAGGCGCAGTAGGCATTGTTCTATAGGAAATTTAATTCAATTTTCCTGTTTACTTTTAGTTTTGTTCACGTACAGGCGTTACCCAATGCACATAGCATTCTCTTCTAATTTAATATAAGTTTACATACAACAGCTGCTTGCTTTATGCCTTTGTTAATAATCACACTCTCAGTAACCCCACAAGTTTTATTTCCAGTCGTTTCTTATTCGCCTTAGCAATTTTATGTGGAATTAATTGCGTTCTACTAAAAAGGAAAAAGTCAAGATAAGATAATGTTTAGAAATCTTGCAACATTTATAAAAAAAGAAAAGAGAAGCGCGGCTGTTTTAGATGTTTACATGAACTAATTGCATCCGTTTCCGTAATTTTGAACACCTCTGAATAACTTGTTGTTGCTTCGGTGCCTAATAGTAAAGTCTGTTTCCTCACCACCCTAACGTCTGATTGGAGCGTTTTATAAATTTCATAAAATTTTTTTTTGTGACGTTCAACATCGTTCATTATTATTAGTAAATGACATCGACAGTGTAATGCACTTAAAGTAGAGCTAGTTGTCTGGCTTACTAGACCGTTATTATAGTGCTGTTTTGTTGTTGGCAGTTTAAGCCGGTTAATATATGATCTTATTTTTTATTTTTTCTATTGTTTGTTTTTTATTTTTTCTATTTTGTGTTTGGATGTGCTACATGGTTTTCTTGAATGCAGTTCGCTTCTATATATAACGCAACAGATTCATTGGAAGAAAAAAAAAACAAACTGTCCAAATATATATTGTATAAGAATTTTGATTGTTTATATTTAGATATAAGAGCACATTATTTGTGCGCACAAACGTATGTACGCCATGACATGGGTCATCATTAAGTTTAGTTTGAATTTCGAAATCATCAACCTTCAATACATATATTTGCGTGCCGCATTGTAATAAAGTTTATAATTTTATACGTGCTCCTAAAGCAGCCCATATAGGAGAAAACGTAATCTGAAGAGATAGAACGCGATCCTTTGCAATCGGAATTTATGCTAATATCTAAACGTTTCAATTCGTACGTAGAGAACGTTCCAGAATGCATTCAGTTTTTATTATGCACCGTCAGTTACGGCGGAGTATTATTTGACCGTGCCGCGATATCGAATGTGAGATATATTTTTCAATAACGCGTGCTTACCGTATCAAGCGATATTTTTTCTTAATTTTTTTTCAATATTAAAATTAAAGTAATAACTTGTTGTTCTTAGTGTTGCATTATATTTAACGATTAAATCGATCAAATCTCAGGAATACAGCAAATATCTATAACGCAAATCCGTCAACGCAATCCGCCTGTTGCTGAGACATTCAAGATTCCAAAATTTAAGCAGAAACTGAAACTTGACATATCGGGTTTATGCTTAAGTTCGTAGGTCTTATGCGTCCGCGTGTCGTGGGTGCACATCGCAATACAAATCTTGTTTCCTTATTAGATTCATTTCGATTGATTAAAAACCTTTGTATTTATTTGACAAACAACGTCACGCGCTTTTGTTTTTTTGCGGCGATAATTACATAAGAGAAAAATTTTAATTTTATACACTGTATGTATATATATACAGGCATGACAAGTACTACACACATATATAAATTTTGTATGGCGCCAATTTTATGTGACAAAAAAGAAAAGAAAGAAAAGAAAGATATTGTAGTGAAGATCTTTTCGTGCTTCACTACAAACATCAGTGCTATTTTGGTGGGACACACATATTTGGTTTTATTTTTATACTGACTAACGCGAAAAGCTCGTATACTAGTTCTCCCTATATACTCGTGACATCCAGAGACATTTATCGGGTTGACAAGCACACGCATAGTTTAGTGGTATCCATTCCTCCTCCCCTTACAGAAATGTTCGTTTCTTGCAAAGTGGCTAGACTTGATCGATAGCTTTAAAGGAAGCCGACGCTCGAATGTGTCGGCGTTTCTCCGATATGTTTAAGCCGCAAATGCATTGCGACATGCTGTATGGTGTGTCACATGATACGAAAAGCTAAAATTTATCCATTGATCTGCTTGCAAATCTGCTCGATCGGCAAGTCAAAAATTATTGATTAAAAATATAAAACTTGAATCGGGTGTCTATTTGGATTATTGAAAGTTTCAAAACCTTTACATAAAGTGTAATGAAATATTGTATATAAACCGCCATTATTTCGTTTTTCCGCAGAAGGTGTATACATATGCGTTCAAGAGTCACATTGAAGTGGCGAATATAACTTGCTTAAGGGTCGAGCGATTCATTACAGTTGGAAGTTTCTTAGATTGAGGAGGCCTTGTTTCTCAATACCATTTTCAAAGGCATGCATAGGAATAATGCTTTTTGTGTCCCATAAAGCACTAGATCGTGCTCTCTTGTCTGTCTACTTGCTCGTTATTAATACTTCGTTTCCCTCACATAATTCTAGCGTGTAATGTTAAGTCAATGTTTCATCCGTGGATGACGAGACAAAAGACGAAAAACCCAATGCCTTAATTGCACATATAAATTTTTTATGGAGAATGATCATATGAATACATTCTAAGCCGATTAGGATCGAATGCGACACTCATCTCGCATAAACCTAATTTGTGTCCATTCTTTCATGCGAATTGATAAATCTCGAGCTATATTTTGTGTCGTCCAATATCATACCACAGTTATTTTCAATTGTTGAAACGCTTTCTTAACTGCAATTTGCCCGAAGCTTGTGTTTTTACTGCTACCGATATAAATCATTTTCAGCCAATGCCTGTTGGTGCATCAAATTTCATCAAAATATCCCAAAAATTGTGGCCTATAGATTAAATGCGAGGCGGACAGAAGGGCAGACAAGCTTCTGAATTGATTAGTATAATAAAAAATGGGTTTGTCTCAAGTGCACATACATCCGCATAAACTTAATATTAACTTGAATTTAGTGAAGGTGACGTAGTATACAATGACAATAATAATATGATGCGAAATAAGTTAATTCGTTCTCGAAGGTTTAGCGAGTTCAAATTTCAGTTTTAGACGTCGAATTTTCGCATATGTTATTCGTCGGATTTTTTATTGCATTTTTTAGGCCTTGTCTTAGGTATTATGTTTGCTGCATCAACTCAACATAATGAAAAGCAGTAAATATAAAAAAAGAACATCTAAATATATATACATATGTACATATATATATGTATTTTAATAACTGCAGTTCATTATAACGAAAACAATATTCATCGGATGTGATTTTTTCTTCTTTTCAGAATTGTTCCGTGTTTTTTTTTTCATTTTCAAAACAGATCTTTTGCAA